GGATAACCGTAAACCGTAAGAAATTTATCTATATTCTGGTGTATTATTATTAACTATTGATTGACCTAAAAATTATTAGTTAGGAATAAACAAAAATGTTACCATTAAAATTCAATTAAAAATGATAACGATCTTATCGATTTCCTTTGTAAACCTCTTCATGATAGTGTGTAATCAATAGTGATACCATATAAAATAATTAGTTATTTTACCTATATTATATAGTGCTTTGCAAATTTTATCATATCTTATATCTTAATTATAAATTAGGATTTATTCAATTATTATTAGAAATAAGATAGTAAATCATGAAAGTCTAAATATGGATCATGTCAGTATATCCAGTGACAAGTAATATAATAAATACATGAATCTTAGACCCTAAAAACATCGGTTTGAAATTAATCTTCGTTATAGAACGAAACGAATGCCCTTTAGTACGTGTAAAATGAACAACCTAATCGTCATCCCTTTCAGTAAAAAATAATAAACCCCAAGATTGAAACCCTAAAATCCTTAATGTTCCTTTGTTTGATTAGACCTTTACATTAGCAGTAAACCGCGAGCTGTTATGAAATATGATGTACCAGCTTTATCCCGCGGCTCCGCCTGCATTTATGTCGGTTATCACGTTTAAAAAGCCTATCTCCTTCCTCAAGAATCAAACTATCACCATATCAAATTTCATCTAAATCAGTTCAGGTGTTATTGATTCCCCCTTTTCACCGCCATAAAGAATTATTTCTGGGATAAAAACTCCTATAAATCGTCCTATAAATAAAAAATTCTATGTTCTTGCCCGGAATTTAAACCATGTCTATACAAAATTTCAATTCAAATCGGTTAAAGGTTGAAGAAGTGACAGACAGACACACCTTTGCATTTATAATATTAGTATGGATTAGTATGGATAGGAATCATTACTTGCAACCTTTATGAGTAGACTATTACGAGTACATATTAATCATATTAGAAACTGAATAGTACTTTTTTATACTGGGGTAAATGAATGAACAATTTGTATCTGCCAAATAAAATTATTAAACAGTATCCGTATCAATATTGGTTATATATGTAGTATAGTATACATGTAGTGTAGTATACATTGATTTTACATGTAATGATTAAATAAGTGCTCATTTCCATCACTCTTATATGATATGTAGTTTTTATTCATTAAGATAGTTTAAGCTATTAACCGTTTTTCTTTAATCTTTTAATTATAATATCTATTAGACGTATCCGCAGTCTCGTTAATGTTTATCAGATTAATTGTTTTATTTATGTTTGCCGTTTCTTCTAGACTCCATAAATCAACAAACTTCTTTAAAGTGTCCATTGGACGCTAAAACAATTTTTTATCGGCATCATAAGTTGAATTAAAACAAAACTGCATGGATGGCGTAGTGATTTACGTGATCACCTCGCTACCTTCTACTGCGCTGAGTGTTCTGGGTTCGCGCACTTTGTGCGCCACAGATTGTTGTTTTGAGTCTTGGGTGTTTTGCGTCCGTATCAATATACGAGGGAGCGTTTTTATGTTCGCGTAATGGGGGATAAGGGGTGGAAATAAAAAAACCAAATTATTTTTCCTTTTCAATATATTCACCTGCAAGACGGATACATTTTTCAGATCTTTCAATTAATTTGTTTATACCCTCATAAAAAAGTTTTTTTATCTTTGTCTTCAAAATACGCCGAAACTGCCTCCTTGACTTCATCATCGTTGGTAATTTTTTTACCCTGCAGCTCGCAGCAGAAATAATCGCTGGGGGCCAGGTCTGGGCTGTAAGATGGGTGATTCAAAATATCGAAGCCCACCTTATGCAGGGTAGCCAACGCAACGCGGCTCTTGTGGACGGGCGCGTTGTCGTGCAAAAGCAACACACCTTTTGTCAATTTTCCCCGTCTTTTCTCTTTAATGGCTTCTTTGAGTCGCTCTAATATTGAAGCGTAGTATTCTCCGGTTATAGAAACACCTTTATCTTTATAATCGATCAATAATATTCCTTCTGAGTCCCAAAAGACCGTTGCCATGAGTTTCCCAGCTGACTGTGACACCTTAAACTTCTTGGGAGGTGCTTTGCCCTTTTTATGCCACTGCATGGAGTCCTTGTTTCGACTCAGGTTCATAATGATGAACCCAAGTTTCGTCTCCAGTAACAATTCTACTCAATACAGCATCCTTGTCTTCATTACAAAGGTCTAAAAATGCACGTGAACACTCTACGAGCTGTTGTTTTTGCGTCGGCGTGAGCATTCTCGGCACCCATCTTGCACTGACCTTTGTCATGATCGTGCAGAATTCTAAAAATGGTTGTATCAGATACTCCAACCATTTCTGCGAGTTGTTTCTTCTTTAGTCGAGCATCGTCGAATACAATTTTTTCGACTTTTTGGATAAGTTCTGGCGTGATCACCTCGATGCTCCTGCCCGGCCTCGGGCCGTCTTCAAGGGATTCCCTTCCTTGTTTAAATAAACTGTGTCATTTGTACACCATGGTTTTTCCTGGACAAGAGTCGCCGTAAACCAATGACATCTCATTCATTATGGTCGCAACTGATTTTCCTTGCTTGGTAAGGAACTTTATAACGGCACGATATTCGAGTTTTTCCATGTTTCACTTTTCAATAACTCATAGACTAATTGTCTAATAACAATGAAACCTGGTATTTATACTAATTATGAGTCACTGAACACGTGACGATTCTAATGAGAGTAATCACCGCCCTCCAATCCTCTCATTCCGCGAACTTAAAAATGCACCCTCGTGAAGTATCTGTACGTAAAGTCCCCGGCGAAATTGGATATATTGCTAGGGCTAGAGTTATTCTTGTAGAAAAAAAGAAGTTAGGTTTATAATTTAAGAATAGCAAAATTATTATAACTTAAGCATAGATACAATCAGTAAATCATTAGCGTCCTACGTGGACATGTTTACAAAGTTGACATTAGTTTTGTGTAACGAGCTCCATCGTACCTCAAATCACGACGTTTTACAATAACAAACTTGCTACTCCGTGGATGTAAACTTTCATCTTTATTGTGATAAAAAGACCACTTTCCAGGTTATAGCCACTACAAAAATATTTCCTTAAAGTCCCTATCCAATGCAATTAATATTATTTTACTGTAAAATTTATGTTGTGTGGCCACACAACAATATAATGTGTAGAGCAGAGTAAATCCTATTATACATATACATACATATAAAGTTATTTGCCCTGACTAATTGATTCATCAACGCAGAGCTTAAAATTTTGGCAGCTGACGGTTTTACGTTGTAAACACGCACTAATAAAGGGTTTTAAAATTTCCTCCCTAAGGCGGTAAAATAAGGGATTAACGGTTGTATAGAAGTACGTCATTTTTAAAGTACACGAAATTAGAAATAATTACGCTAGCGAGTGTATGCGCGTTTCGGTCCGCTCGTTTTTTGGCCCGCGAACCGAAACGTCTAAAGGCATAGTTTTCATTGGTCTATTCGCCTCATTAACAGATAGTGGACCGAATCGTCACTCAGTTCATGTTGCGATTTCAAATGAAAATAATTTGTTTTTATTTCGCTAAGTACAGTTGAAATATATCTATCTATCTACCATATAGGTTTTTACCCAAAACCTATAGGGTACTTCCGTTTGACCTAGAATTGAAAAAATTTGAAAATTAAGATAAATTTTGGTACTTACAAGTTTTCGCGAAAATCGACATTTGCTCATATCTTTTTATCGTGTTGACTCAGGACCTTGATTTTTTTACACCTAATAGGGACCATAGACCTCAGTATCTACCCGTTCCTGAGAAAATCGGTGGTGACACACGGACTGACGGACAAGAAAGTGATCTTAAAGGGTTCATTTTTTACCTTTTAAGGTACGGAACCCTAAAAATGAAGAAGAAAAAAGAAGTTTGGTATATTATGTAGCTGGCAAAGTAAGGTTTCATATTATGTGAAACAATATTCCGATTAGATCACCGCACTGCATTGCTGCACTCTTTATGTTGTCAAGGTCCTGGTTCAAATGATTTTGGTGTGAACATTACTAACACTACTGAGCAAACAAGTGATGCATGGTATAAAAAATATAGGTAGTTAAACTTAGTACATGCTTAAATAAAGTAGCTAACATTGGCAGATAATTACTGCATATAATTACCGAACTTACTACTACGCTGAGTGCTGTGGGTCCGATCGCCACATGGTACGACACTTTGTGTATGTTCTGTGTCTGGGTTTTCTTTGTGTCCGTTTCATGTATGTTTGTATAGTCCCCCGCGACACAAGATGTACTTATTCCTAAGGCGGGAGCTGTCTTTTAATAAATTAAAAGAAAAAATTATAGCATTCTAATGCTATTTAATAATGGTCTGGTCTAGATTGCGAGTAGAAATGTTTAAGCATGTAGTAGGTACCTAGATATCGTTAAGTGCCGTTGCTAACTAGCTCTTATCGTCATGAATAATTGTTACCGGTGTATATTCACGTCCACGTCAAAATCATTTGACTTTTAGATATGAATATCGTCTGGTCTTGTTTATTTTATTAATAAAGAAAAGAGAAAGTGTAACTGTTTTAATTCTTATTTATCTTATTCCTGTGTTTCCTTTTCTTGCTTTTTTTTATATATATAAATAAAGCAATTTTACCAAAATTAATTAAATATGTTGTCTTTTTGGTTTTAAAGTTTCGAGTTCGGAATCCACTTATTAATAGACATACTTTTCTTTTAATTTGCTTATTGTCAGTTATCTCAAAATACGTCCTGAAACTGAGCATCCGAAAGCTTTTCTGAAAGTCGACTTTTATTAGGGGTCATGAAAACCTGTGATAACTCGAATCCGATTTTTATTATTTACTCGAAAGGCAATGTGGATCATGGAGATAGAGTTGAGTGCACATGGCGTAAATCTTCAGAATGAGATCCCTTACTTGGAAGTGCAACACACACTCTTGTAAAGAATTTAATCCATAGATGAGGATTTTATCTCTATTACTTACTTTTCAAATCTGACGTCCGTTAGAGATCTGTTCACTGAGATCCTGTCGCTAGCTAGCAAGTTGAACTGGTTTTCTTGGAATTTGTCTAACATCAGCTTTTCTTCCTCAATTGGTATGTTCACCGCCTTACCTGAAAACACACTTACATTTTAATGCAAAGAAGGCTGTAGGCAAAAGATGCCGATTTAATCACCCATAATTACTAAATAGTTCTGAGCTTAGCGATACATTGTGCGCGGAGCGCAGTAAGAGAATGTTTCATGCTCTATGAAAGCAATAAGTAATGCGTGAAATGAGTAACGTGTGAAATGAGTAATTCATTTAATAAATGTTTTTACAACCTCTAAAATGATGTTTAAAGATTGTTTGATAAAAATCCACTGGAATGTTTGTCACACATTTTATTTATAAACCTAGTTTTCACACTAATACATAGGAAAATCTTTTTATAAATGCCTCGCGATATTGTTAAGTTTAAGATTATTCCTCAAAAGTCATCTGATAAATAAACATCAGACACTATGCTACAAGAAAATTGATAATTATAAATCAGATAATTAGATCTATATGAAAATTAAATGGGACAATTTTGTAACAAACCCCTTTCGAACAAAAACAAGAATTTTGAAAATCCGTCTATATATGATAGAGTTATGCCCGAACATACCTATATAAAAAAAACATTCGAATTGGTAACCTCATTTTTGAAGTCGGTTAAAAAAAAGAAAAGAACGAGCCATCTATGTAAAGCATAGTAATGCATGTCTAACACTTTATCTCCAACTAACCAAAAACTTTATGCGCGATTCCGGATTGTATACGATACGGATTGGATACAGTATACGAGTGCTAATGGATGAGAAACTGTTTTGTAATTATTATTAATTTAATAAGCATCTTTCGGCGACCCCGCCCGCGGTTGTATCGATTATCGCGGTAAAAAGCCTATGTCCTTCCTTAAGAATCAAACTATCTTAGTAACAAATTTAATCTAAATCGGTTCAGCGGTAATTGATTTCCCATACAAACTTTCACCCCCTTTTCACCCCCTCTTTTTTTTTGACGGGGTGGAAAATCCCTTCGGATCTCCTGCTCCTCGGGGCTAGGAGCTAGGAGTATGTGGTGATTCCACTAAAAACCACCCCGACGGCCGGCCTCAGGTGCCCTACTCTGTGAGGACCTGGACCATGTTATTTCAGGTCCTCCCCGAATTGACACCATGCCTAGTCAGGCCCTATCCCAGGGGAAAATCACTTCCCCCCTCTTCCACATTTCGTCTAAATACAATCAGGCCGCCATACCACAGCATTCAATCTGCAGCCAGAGGTCCCCACTCTCTGGCAGCCCGCGGCCCCGTCGGTGGCTGGTATGGTAGCCGACGTCCTCTACGCTCGGGATCGGCCCTCTCTCGATCCCGTTCAGCGGTCTCTTTCTGGAGCATTACAGCTTCACAGACAGAGACCACTGCGCCCCGTACCTCCTCACCCGCCAGCATGGCAGCAATGATTGCTGGCAGGGAACAGGTCTCTTCCGATTTGGCCGACCAGGACTTCGCATTCAGACGCCCACGCATGGCAGTCTTCCAGCGTGTGCTGGACGGAGTCCCAGTCGGCTGCCCTTTTCAACCCCCTAAAAGACGATTTCTGGGATAAAAACTACTACTCGTATGTCCTTTCCTGTGACTCAAACTATCTCTACTCCAAATTTCAACTAAATCGCTTCAGCGGTTTAAACGTGAAGAGGTAACAGTCAGACAGACAAACTTTCGAATCTATAATATTAGTATGGATATGGATGACACACATAGCATGGTAAATATATAATAATAAGTAACTCTGGTCTCTATATTGGGAACGTTATGTTACCGAAAGTGTCGGGTATGCGAAACGAAATTATTACCAAAACGGTAACCGTCACTTATAACAAAATTCAGTATATTAATAAAATACCTTATAACACGGTTTTATTATTTATATACGGTTAAAATTTATGATTCATGTTGGTTTTATTTATAGTAATTTCGATTTTGCTTACTTAATACTTACAATACCTATAGTTAATTTAACCGGAAGAGGTAGAATGATGTAGGGTGAATTAACTCCGATGTACGTACATTTTGAAGATGCCCTCAAGATTTGGTATTTTCGAATAACTAACTTTTTTGGACATTAAAAAGATGAGTATGTATGTAGTAAGGATGTGTCGTCGTCTTCGAGTATGCTTAAGTGACGATGCTCTTAGAACTTGAAAACCTAATATTTGTAACTAATCTATTCCAAACTATCGGTATACAAATATTTTGGTATTCATAATGGTATCCCAAGCCGTTATAATATTATTCATATGACCGTATAGCTACGTATAAAAAATTTCAAATCCCCAACTTCCATGGTGTAAATGTATATAACCAATCAATCGTACATTTCTTCAAAGTAATTGTGCCAAACTCAGTTCGCGAGTTCGTTAATTCAGTCGTATAAAGTTTTTACTAACTATACAAACAACAGAATTACAAGAACATGTTTTTGCAAGATGTATAGTAATTTCTTAACAAAACAGATTTTATAAAGTAGACTAAGATTTATTCAGTAAATAACCGCGTATCAGATAAATAATTATTGTCTTTGTGATATCTTTGTCGTCGTAGTTTTTGTATGTTTAGTTAATATAATGATCTATATCATATAATTTAATTGATTGTAATAGATAAAGGAGGATTTCCCCTAAATATCAATCTGATAAATGTATCACTACACCGTTCTTTACTTTTTGATATCTACAAAAAATGTATTGTCATTAAATAAAATTTATAAATAAATAAATGAAGATAGCACATAAAATAAGTCTATATTTTTAATAGAAAAAAGTTTTAGTAAAGTGTTAAATGATACATTTGATAATTAGTTTATAATATTAATGTTTTATTAGTAATAATAAGTTTATTTGCATTAAATGTGGTACAAACGATGTTAAGTAGATTAAATCATGAGAACAGGACACATTTCGCCATAAAATCGCATGCAAATATTTAGTTGAAAGGTTAAAATAATAAAAACATAAGAAACGAGATACAATTTGAGTTAGTAGTTGTAAAGTAATAATGCATTTCTAAGGGGAAAAGACTGAGAAACGATTTTTTTAAAGAATTCTTAAACAATAAAAGCAATGTTTAATTAGTCCTTTCCTTACATTACAAAATGTATGGTATGGTGAGTTCAAATTTTTTCAGGTAATGCGTTGTAAATAAGTGGTGCTTTAAGGTACAGGCATTTTTAAATAGTTTTAAGCTTAATTGTATTATAATTAGCTCCAAACAATCCTTTTTTACACTTAAGTAATTTATCCCTTCGAAAATTACATGCTAGGCACCGTTATATTTTCTCTGATTTAAATATCGACCTACAAATCTCTGACTACTGCTTATGAATATTGTCCGTTGACATTTATTTTGAGCTATGAATACACGGTCCATTTCTGATGCGTAACTCCAAAATAGTATAAAATATCGAATTATGGAGCACACATATGCATGGTATACTAATAATGACGATTGCTTACACCACCACCTTAGCCACGTCTTTAATAGTTACTAGCATAAGAGTATTATTACTACAGTAAATATTTATTTGTGGCATATAGTACGCACTTCATAGAAACATTGTGTCAAGAAACATGCACACTAGATTATTCTTTAAGGTAATTCTACATCTGCAGGTTATATGGTAGGTATTCCGAGGGTCAAACATTTGGATCCTTCTGTGTAGTCATCAAATGTAATCGTGTTGTAATTTAGGAACCAATGACTGTTTTTTTATAAAGATCTTTATCGTTCAAAAAGATCTTTGTAAATAGAAAGTAACAACCGGCTACAAATGGCGTAACGCTGAAAAACAATTAATTGTACAATGGGGATACAATACAAACAATGGGGGTGAAAGTCTTAAGGACGCTCAAAACTTAATTTAAATCTTTGTGTATTTTTTGGTAAATTCATCACCAAAATATATTTTGTAGTAAACAGTGGTTTTGCACTATTAACTACAAAATATCCTAAGAATATAATCACATGCTAGTAACATAATAAATAGAATTTTAAACTACACGTAATTGACAAACAGACAGTACAGATTCGTTTGGCAGAAAAAAAACGAGTTCAGAAGAAAGTAAGTGCATTCGTCACAACCTCAATTTCACATTTATAATATCAGTCAGGATCAGCATAACTTCGCTTATAGGCGACCCGGCGACGTATCAAGATGTAATACGTATATCGTAATACATGGACCCAGATTTTAATTAAGGCCACAATCCATGTGCCCCGTCAAATTTCGTGCAGCATTTTTTGCGTTATTCGCGTAAAAACACGTATACGTAAAGATTTTGAAGCAATTCCCACGCTTAGGAATCTTTATTTTACAAGGGCTACACTTGTATACAATTAAGTGACTCCCACCATGCGGGCATTGAAATGAACAGCACCCGACATTATTTCCTGAGTAGCGAGTAAACTAAAACCACCATGATGCTGGTATTCATGCGTTCGTATCCTTTTTAGTCAAAGTCGGAGGACTTAAATGTCAGCGAAGACATCGATTATTACTTGTAGTTTCTTGAAAAAGCCTTCCAAAATTGTTTTATTCAAGGTAAGCTTAATTTATACAGATATTTATAAATTACTGTATAAAACTACTTAATTATAATTAATTATAAAGGTTCAATGATTTACCTTGACCCCCATATTTATGGTATTTGAATTATATTAATTTTAACCTATTTGATCTGTTTCAGTACCGTTAACGCAAGATATCACACTTTCAGTCGTAAACTCAACTGACCTTTAAACATTTCATATTTACACACACAGGTATAATAAAAAGTAAAACATTAAAATTCTGTACACTTTATAGCGTAATTTTTTGTAAACTGTTCGTTAGTAAACAATATGCACTTGTACCATACTCTGTAGGTATATAACAGATTATTGACAGGTTCATTGATTGGGAACCACTCATATAATTTATACATTTCATCAATATGTACATATTGACTTATGACCTATTTCTTAGCTTTCTATGGATTCTAACATCGCGTCTTAGATGGGAGCAACACATATGACTGTCACAGCGCCTGGGACTTGCGACCCAAGAGTAAGTTTAGGGAGTACTCCTTGCGACGCATCAGCGCTCACCTCCACTGTCTGCTGTATTACCCCATCTACATAAACTTATTTGATATGATCCTAACAATGCCACTTTGGATATTCATTCAAGCTTACTGAAGCTCTTGGCAATCCAAGGTCTTTAAGCAGGTTATAGAGGCATTTAGCTGGTATACCCTTGCACCCACTTCCAAGGCATACAATGCAACGAAATAGCCATTTCTGGTTATTGCATTGGTTAAGTCAAAGTACTTTTTTTTAATGTGTGGTCTTTAGGGATGTTCGTTTCCCACAGTACCGTTCTAGTACATACCTACTTCTACAAAATGCATTACATTTACATCTGTATTGACCCTATACTGCAGACTCTGGGAATAGCTATCACAGAATGATCATTCCAAAATTTCTGGAATACACAATATTTTCTGGAATCTGAATTTTGGCATAAATATGCAACTATTTGTTATAGTGTGAATGATCTGTGAGCTTAAGCTATGCTAGGATTTTCATACTGTAATTTGCAATATAGTTAAAAGTAATATAATTTGTATTTCATACCCATCTCTCCTAATGCATTTCCTATTGGTTTGACAACAGGTGCTGGATCCCACCTCTTAAGCCGTGATGCTGGATATGCTGCAAGTGATATGCCGTCTTCTCCTATCTCATCTTGTCCCAGTTCATTTTGTTCTAAATTGGTGTCATCATCATCTATCTGATTTTTTTGTAATGCTGCTGCTAGTGCTGCTTTCTTTCCCCTGTATTCTTCTTTAATCTATAAAAAATGTGTTAAATAAATTATGCATCCACAAATGTGTCAAGTCAATCATTCTGGTTTTTTTTTAACTAATGGAATATCACAGAAGATTTCGAGAGTAAGAAGTACCTCTTTTTTTCATAATTATTAAAAGGGGAAAACAAACATTTCGGATGGCATAAGCATGTGGAATTTTGAATGAAAACTTAACTGCTTTTTTTAGAAAAGACAACTTTAACAACTAGGCTTCAACTTTTTGGAAATGAAAAGAATATTATATTTTAATTTACTTAGAATACTTTTGTATTTTGTTTGAATAATAATGTGTTTCAGTATAACATACGTTACATACATACATAAATTGAGAATTGGCTGCATACTTAAAAAATTACAACAGACTAAAAATAAATTAGTGATATTTTAATTTATATGAAAAGTTAAATATCTCCTTTTGAGCATAGTAAACATAAAGTATAAAGTAATAAGTGTTACTGTGACACTATATAAGTGTGTCCACTTATACATAGGTCATAAAAAATTAAGGTAAATTGAGAGCTGATTTTAAAATATTCAGGAAAAACAATCTCAGTTTAACTCTTAGAATGCCTGGTTTCTTGGAATTACTGGTCTGAAACTGGTGCTAATGGTTATAACAATGCAGATTGGAGGGCAAACAAATAAATCTCATATGTGACAAGTCATCATTTTTAAGATTAACTTACTTGATCTTTAATATGTAACTTTCAAATGTGACATAATTGAAAACATAACATTTTAAACTTTTACATAATATAATAATTAAAAAGTAACAACACCAAATAACTTTAATTTTAAAAAAAGTTAAGAACTTCTTTGTAGGCTACCATCTACCAGTAAATTCATATCAAATATTATCAAATAGGATGCTAAATGCCAACTTTTTTTCTTAATGTTGTAAGAATTTAGAACTTATTTAAAAAAATATTTTTGCGTTTATTTAATAAGTTTTGACCACATAATTTAACACTTTTAACACATAAATTATAGACCTCAGTTTTTACCTCAATAACATTGTCCGAAGATTTTTTACTGCAGTCCCAGCCGTCACCGAAACAGTCGGAGTACATAGCCAGCAACATTACATCTACTAAGAGCCATACTAATGATGTGATCAATATAATACGGCATGTGTGTATCCGTATTTTACTCCGGAACATTTTAATCGATCAAGTTCGTACGCACTAGATTTCACTGCCTCATGACAACACAGCCCCTCTAAAGTCACGTTATCTTCCAAACCTGCAATGCACTTGAATTTTAAACAAACATGAAAAACTAACGCCAAACATATTCACCAAATAAACAAGAATACGATGTAAATGAAAACTGTTTTCGTGTTAAACTCTGAATGTTCTACCTGGCGGCATCAAACTAAATATCTAAGCACTATTTTACAGTAAGTAGGTTTCCGGATCTAAAAAGTGAAAAACCACTGAATAACTCACTAGATTTTATGAATAATTAGACAGCACTCATTCAAAAAGATAACTTATTTATGGAATATTATAATGCGTATATTTTTCATTAAAATATATACCGTATTGTTGTTTGAGACTTTAACTATTTGTATCACAACGGCGGTGAATGGCAGCTCACGGCCGACATTCAACTCGTTACAATCAATTCTACGAACAATCGCCAATCGCGACAAGCCAAATTGTGCACGTCAAAACTTTCTATCGTGTCAAACTGGTTACAATTCTGCAACACTTTTAAATGGAATTTTATTTTATTTTTAATAAATCACACATGGTAATACCAAGATACCTATATCTAAATGACTTTTTTATTATTTTCAATAATGAGTATGAGACAATCAAATATCTATCAAATAATTCAAGAAGTTGCAGAATTGGTACCGAGTTTTAGAGTAGGAGTACGTTAACATAGAGAGAACATCAAGAACGCCTCGAAAAGAAAGAAACCTTTAATAATACAAGTTCTGGCCTGCCTTACAACCCCTCCTCCGAGGGGATAACCTGGGCCATGTGGTTTCAAGGTCCATCTCGAATTGACGCTGCGATTATCCAGGCCCTATCCCGGTGGAAGTTGCAAGGCTGCCAAACAGGCCAATCGCGTTTTGATGCGATCAGGTTCCCACGGGCCGTTACGGTAGTGGGGTTTGCGATGGGGTGGTGTGACAGAATCGATTCGAAGTTTATTCATTTTTATGTTTGTTGTCTAACGTTGGGAATAAAAGCAAAAATTTCCAAATAACAAAAATGAAAAGAAGTTGAATATTAATACTAGTCAAAGGGACGGTCAATTCTTTCTAATTCCCTAACATATCTCTTAATCTGTGTTCCCTAACTGATGGCGGAATGTCATAAAAACATTTGTGACATATGTCAAACCTTGAACCGTAGGGAGTAAGGGCCGCCACGGCACCAGTATTGCCAGCCTAGTGAGTTGTCCACTAAAACTGGTGGTTTCGACCCCCATGTTAGTGGCGAAATATTGATTTTCCTAGTAGTGTAAGATTGAAGATCCTAGAAGTAAGACTTAGATGATATTGAAAGATAAACTGTAAGAACGGTTTGTCTAGACAAACCTCTAGCATTTTTGATAAGAAAGGAATAAAGGAGATTGGATGTAAGCGCTCAGGTTAAGAAGAATGATTAATTTTAGGCAACGGGATGATGTAGGCTTTATGCCAGAGAGAGTGAAGGTTCCGGAGTCAAGAGAGAAGACAATGAATTAGGCTATAATTTCTAGGACATAATCCGGAATGGTAACTATCATCCTACGGCTAACAACATCACAGCCCTTTGTGTTAGAACGGACTAACAGGGATCTTTTTGATGTCCCCAGAAAGCACCGGAGAAAAATCAGAATTGACATCATTAGATCGTATGAAGTATGACCATGTGTCTGCTTTGCGTTCCCAATTAAACTGGTTGCCTATTCGCCTCCGCCGCAAACAGCGTGCACTTACCTCTCTATTTGCATTTCTCAATTCACCGTCCTCACCTACTGACCTTGCTCCCTACTTACGTTACCTGTCTAGCAATCATGACAGAAATCTTCGCTCAGATAGCAATCTGCTTCTCTTATGTCCCTCTCACAACTCCGACTTCGTGAACTCTTCGTTCTTTGTTCAAGCAGTACTACTCTGGAATGCGCTCCCGCTCGAAACCAGGGTGTCCACAAACTGCTTTATATTCAAAAATAAGGTACACGCTCTCCTTCTTAAAGAACTGGCAGAACGGTCTAATCCATAGTTAAGTATACCTCAAATTCAGGTTTTCATAGTGTACGAATATGATATGTCTATGTATCTATTTAAATATACTTGTATAATATATATGTATGTGTATCTATGCGTATTTATGATGTGTAAGTGTAGTATGTGTGTATATGTTTATATATGTAGTGAACCGTATATATTTTCATTGTACATTTGATATTATGATGTAACCTCTGTGCACCTACCTTACAAGATTTCTACATCACCCAAAGGTTGACTGGAAGATAATGCCCTGGGCATTAAGTCCGCCGATGTACAAAAGTGCATAAAGATGAATAAATAAATAAATTAGATCGGCAATTAAATATTTTATCTACTGTGTGAGAAGTAATAAAAATACAGTCGATTTAAATGTCTTGTGTTTTTGTGTGCATGTGTTTAAATCAATTTAATTAATTTAATCAAAAAAAAAGAGTAATTTACGAAGCTATTTTGAACAATACAAGTTTATTTCAAACAAATACGTTTTATATGGTGTGCATTTAATGTAGATCAAAATTGTCTTTTGCAGCATGTCATTACAATGAATGTCTTAGTAGATATAAGTTTTAAAATGAGAGAGCAAAGCGGTCATCGCCACGTTCACGCACGCCTTACGGATAGACGTTCCGGGTGGCAGCGGCCAACAGGAGTGAAGCGGGGGTATAAAATTTATAGTATACTAGCTGACACATTAGTAGTATTAGTATCTACATTGCACCCGTGCGCCACCGAGGCGGATTGCTAGTTACGTAATCAAAAGTAAATTAATTATTATACATCCATAATGAACACTTAGTTTTTTTCATTGTATAAGGGGGCAAACGAGCAGATGGGTCACCTGATGGTAAGCAACTACCGCCGCCCATGGAGACGAAGACATGACGTATATTGTTTTCTTTCGTAATAACGAAAAAAAACATGTTTAGTGGAAAATTTAGTTAGAGTTGGAGTTATTGGCGTAGGGAGTTATTCGTTGGTGTTTTTTTTTTGTGTTTTAAGATGTTGAATTTGGTGGAGAGTTAATTTAACTGTTGGCAACTCTGCGCTATTATGGTAGTTACTACTAGTTACTATAGTACTGCTAGTGCTGCTGATTTGTTATTTTTAGTTGAATGATTACATTACCTGTACTGACTGTCTGAGAAACGAATTATTATTAACTTAGTTTACAGGTAAAATTGTATAATTAGAGTTTAACAAATAATTGTTTAGTAGCGTGAGTGTTATGAGAAGAACTCATCAATGTGGATTTAATCTTCCAACAAGCTCAAGTAGCTGTCAAGATATTTGATATTAAATGTGTAGCAACCGCACCAGGATTATTTTCTTTATCAAATATTTTCACAAGCAAAAACTGAACTAAGTCAACTTGAAATTCAACGAAAGCAGGTTTTTATCAATAAAACACATCTTTTTTTTAAATTTAAAACTTGCCCTTATATAAATACTTATATTTATAATTATGAACAGAAACAAGAACAGTTCTAGGATGGTGAGAAGTGATGACTTCGTTAATGACGCAAAGAATGCATATAATCTGATAACAACCGAGGATAAGCCACCTGATATTAAATATGAAAAAGAGAACTCATGGGTGGCTGGAGTTCAGATGTTTATATCTTTTTTACTGGCTGGTTTCGGTATGGTAGCAGCCAGTTTATTATTAGATGTGGTACAGCATTGGGAAGTTTTCTCCAAAGTATCAGAAGTGTATATCCTAGTACCAGCCCTCCTAGGCTTGAAAGGTAATTTGGAAATGACTTTAGCATCACGATTGTCAACTCATGCCCATTTAGGTCATCTTGACACTAGTTTGGGATCACTGGTTGTTGGAAATTTATGTCTCATTCAATGTCAAGCTGTCCTTGTAGGCTTCCTGGCTGCCATGGCCGCTGTTGCCATGGGATGGATACCAGAGGGACAATTTGATATTCATCATGCATTGTTGTTGTGTGCCTCTAGTGTGTTGACAGCATCATCAGCTAGTTTAGTGCTTGGTATCATTATGATAGGAGTTGTGGTTGTATCAAAGAAGTTGAACATCAATCCAGACAATGTAGCCACACCTATAGCAGCTAGTTTGGGAGATTTGACGACTTTAGCACTTTTGTCATGGATAGCATCACTCCTTTTTAAATCAATTGGCACAAGTGTTATTCTACCATCCCTTATAATCATTGTTGGTGCTTGGCTTGTGCCAGTTTGTGGGTATATTGCTTGGAAAAATGATTTTACTCAGCAAGCATTAGATGAAGGATGGGTACCAGTGGTGTCTGCTATGATCATTAGCAGTGCAGGAGGATTAATACTGGATCATACTGTGTCTATGTACTCTGGAATTGCAGTGTATCAACTGGTCATTAATGGCATAGGGGGCAACATGGTGGCTGTACATGCCTCTAGATTGTCTACTCAGCTTCATACTGGACAAAAAGAAGGTTCAGTAATTGGAAGTACAACTAAGTTGTTGTTATTAATGGTCATACCTGGCCAGTTAATTTTTATTTACACTATAGGATATCTAAGAGCTGGACATACATCTACTACACCTACATTCATATTGATTTATATGTCTGCAGCTTTATTGCAAGTGTTTCTATTATTAACAATTAGTCATTACATGGTTCGTTGGATGTGGGGAATGGGTATGGATCCTGACAATTCTGCAATACCATACCTTACTGCGCTTGGTGATTTATTGGGAACAGCCTTACTGGGTGTGGCCTTTAGTATTCTGTTTGCCATTGGAGATAGAGACAGTGATGTAGGTGATTAAAGTTGCTTTGATTATGTAATAATTGCTTGTTAACTTTGTTTTCTTAAATGTAATAGTCCCATTTCTATACATGCTGTTTGTACTTAACTACGAATTTTAAATGAGATGTAGATCCAAAGCAGGTTATAACTATGGGATTGTTTAGAAATTTTGTACTGTGAAAATGTTAATTATTGGTAAACCACATTAGCAAAATGCACAATGATACACATTATTTTTATCTGTTTCATTGTTCATTTTGCACTTAAACTAACAGCTGTTGTAAGGCTGAATTACTTAAAAAAAGTTTATAATTAATTAAATGTTTATGCTTTGTTCTTATATGTACTGTAGTTATATGACTCGTTGTCAGCATACAAAAGACTTAAAAATGTACATAATTTGTAAATGGTGCTACTAATATAATTGAAAACTAACTAATATAATTGAAATAATTGAAAAGTAAAAAAGACCTATTTTTGTAACTATATAAAATGGAAATATATAAAACCTACTTTTAATCTTGTGAAATAAATTCGTTGAGTTTTCATTTTGTTAACTTTGTTCCAACCTCATCTAATAATGATTATGTTCTTTCGATGCTACAATAGTTTTATTGTAACAAGTACGGCTTGAGTTAAATGCGGCGGCGGTTTTGTGTTTTGCTATGTTAATATCATGTCTGCAGTTTAATTTTTGAAAATTGATAAAGATAATTCTTGGAAATTGTATTTACAATTTATGAGTCAATTCATGATCAAAGTCTATCTAAATAAATTCACCTGAAGTCTTTATTAAATGTGATAAGCAAAAAGTAAGTGCCATGTCGCATCCACAAATACTACCTGTATTTCAGTTTTGAGCTAGTCTGGAACAACATCCAGTAGCCTATGCCTTTATTATAATCCATGACGTCACATAGAGATCCCCACATTTAACCAGTCTATCATTGTAGCTTGCACTATATCCTATCCACTATAGATCAATTTAAATTCAAAATATAGCCAACTGCATAAGAAACCTCCTATCAAACAAGTGACACACCCATTGTGGTTTTGAAATATAAAGAAGCTCGTCAAGTAGTATCTACATACTCGTTAATTATCGTTACATTCAATCAAATCTCTTCTCGAGCTTAGATGTTTTTTTAGTGTAAGGAGTGTTGTATGTGAGGAAACCTTTAAGGCCAATCTTTGTACAGAGTTAGGTTGTCTAGGCAGTTCAGTTTATTTTGTAAAGATCCAGGTAATATGAGGTCTATCTCGAGACTTACAAAGAAGCAACCTTTCCTGCGCAGTGCTGTTTATTATCTGCTATCATAGGTACTAGAAACATATGATATGAACAGTCACCGAGCCCCAGAATGGGTTACAATTTGTAACTGTAGGTACTGTATAGTGCAGATATCCGCGGGCCAGATGCGGATTTACCAGCAGACTGGGCTCCAAATTTAGCTCATTTTTTTAATCTTACAGAAATAAAAAAAGTTAGAAATTTCACAACACTTAATTACAAAAATATTTTAGTTTTTGTAAAATGTTAGTACTATTATTATTAGAATTCGCCGTCTGCTACGAATAATAATTGTATGAAAAATTACTAAACGCTTTGTGAAATACACTTATGGGAATATGAATTTTTAAAATGTTCCAAATAGCGTTTCAATATTTTAATTTACTTAATTGGTAACTATGCCTCATTTTTTATTAATTATTACCTACTGTATTTTTCTGCATGTTTCTGCACTTATATATTTCATGTTCTAAGCGCCAACCGAACTGAATAACTAATACGCCAGTCTGTCTATTTTGAGCCCCATGTTAATTTTTCGCTTCCGAGATACAGTAAATAACAATATTATGTAAAAAATCGGACTCCTTCCTGTCCTAAGGAGCAAATATACAAGCAACTGACATCATGGAGGCCCATCAAATAAAAAAAAGATTTATACAAAAGTTATAGAACTGTGTATTGAATACGGATCGATCTGTTTAAATCGTATTGTGAAAAATTTAAGAATAAAGCTAATAAAAAAGCTATTATCCCTCAATATTAAAAGATGGCGCCATTGGCAGCCACAAATAACAATTACGTCACTTTTGCACTTGTTTTTACATTAATATATAGCATGAAATTGTCATCGCCCGTCATAATTTTGTTAATATTTTTTTTGCATTCATATGATAATAATAAAAAAAAACTTAATAAAACAGTCCACTATTGCTGTTAAGGAAGACTGATTCCGTCCTGCGTTTTCTGCTTAGACGAGTTTTTCTAGATTCTCACATTTTCAGATTCCCTATATATTTACCTACTAATAAATCTATGCCTAATATTCACATCTATATATATATCTATGCCTTTCCGTTGTGTACGCAACGGTACAAAATGACTATATACTATACTGTAAATTTTAGAAACTTTTTTGTACCCCTTTTTTGTAGCCATTAGAACTCAGTTGGGTTATGTACTAATTGCGATTGTCAGTATTTTAATTATATTTCGTTAATTATTGTGTAAAGAAAAGAAATTTTACACGTGCATAGTTGAATTAATGCACTTATTATTGGAATAGGTTTTATAACGCATTTCCTTTAGAATCTCGTGCAATAAGACTGCAAATGAAACAGTGGTCCAGTCATGGTAAATTAACCCATAGCTCATTAATTACTAAGAGTACATCAATGATAGTTGGTAAGACGTTGTAGATGCTTACAAGGTATGTTTAAGCCACATCTCTACGTAACGCCAAGGGATCAGGCCGATCGGAGATGTTTGGGCTATTGACGATTCGAGTCGCTCGCAGAGGGAGCTGACTGAGGTGCCCCTAGAGATGAGAACAGTATTCCATATACGGCCGGCCTTGCGCCTTATAGAGATGTAGGCGGTGGGCCTGGGTGAAATACTGCCTCGATCTGTTCAGCACACCGACCTTCTTCGAGGCCAATTTGACCTTACCCTCTAAGTGACCCCGAAACTGGACTTCGCTCGATATATCGATGCCTAGGATTCCGATGCTGGTTGCAGTTATCAAAAAATAGCAAACATCACTGTGAATTACCAGGCCTAGAACTTGTCATTCCGCTGTTTGTTGTGACTGGAAGAAAGGAGCGAGATTTTAAATTGTTTTATGGAAATAAACGGAGATATAAAATACAATAAAAGTGAAAATAAGTGCAAAAAATGATTGTTTTCATGTTTTTGTTATTTTATGTACAATTTATATCAAAACACTGTAAATAAATTTCTCAAAATTATGTGATGGAAATTTACATCACTATGCAGTAACTTCACTTGTAATGTTTGGCAAACATTTTTTTGTAAATGTTTATTTTATGTTGTTTTTTAGGGAAACTTGAATGAAAAAGATATTGAAGATTATCTTAGTAAGTTAGAAGGCGGCTGGCTCTCAGAAGATGGCCTTGATGACCAAGATAGATTCCGATGATGAAAACCGCGATGCTGATGAAGTTATAAGAGTGTTGGCTTCAAATTATAAGTTTTCTGTGATTTGATGGGATATACTAGTTTGAGGTATATTCTGGACAAGAGAATACAGAGAAACTCCCAGATGAACCAGATCTTGGTGCAACAGGAAATGTTGTAGTTCGTTAGCTTCGAGGAGTGCCAAGAAAGCAAAACCACATTATATACTTTGATAATTTTTATACCTTTTTGCCATTGGTATGTATTTACAAAAAAAAAAAAAAAGTATATATGTATTTATATCAGTTGTCTAGTACCCATAGTACAAGCTCTGCTTAGTTTGGGACTAGATGGCGTTGTGTGAATGTGGTACTATATTATTATTATTGGTAGTTTTTTTAGCTAAATCAAGAATTCACACAGTGGGAACTGTGCAACAAAACAGGATACCAAATAATAAACTTCCAGAGAAAAAAATATCATGAAAAATCTGTGCCCAGAGGTAGTTTTGAGGAAAGAGTGTCTGTGCTTGATGGTATAGATTTGAGTTGTGTGGCTTGGAAAGATAATAAGATAGTAACCCTGTTATCTTCTTATTCTGGAGCATTGCCTGTCACTAAAGTCAATAGATTTGACAGGATAACAATTACTTGCCCGTTTATTGTCCAAGAGTACAATAAACAAATGGGAGGAGTAGATCTCATGGATAGCTTTTTAGGCAGAAATCATATAAAAATCAGGTCTAAAAAGTGGTATTTGCGTATTTTTTTTCATCTATTTGATCTAGCTATTATAAACTCTTGGATTGTTTATAAAAAAAATGCTCAAGAAAGAGGTGAACCTAAAAAGAGTCTGCTTACAATGGGCCAATTCAGAAATGAATTGGCCTTTGTGCTATGTAACAGAGGAACCACCAAAGAAGCTAAAAGAGGGCGTCCTAGTACCAGTGTACTAGAAGAAGAATTACAATTAAAAAAAAAAAAGGTTCTCCAGCTCCACCACCTCCAAAAGACATAAGAAAAGATGATGCTGAACATTGGCCAAAAGTAGGTAGGTCACTCCGGTGCAAATTTCCCAAATGTAAAGGCTATTCCACAATTTCGTGTAATAAATGTGGCTTCAATTTGTGCCTTAATAAGAATAATAATTGTTTTTTAAATTATCATAAAGAATAAAGAAGATTGAGGAAACTATATTTTTTTTATTTATTTAGTACTGAGCTAAATATGTGACAATGCATGATGATGTAAATTTCCATCATATTTTTTTATAAATAATACATATTTTTATTTAAACTAGGATTTTTTTAAATATTTTTCCTTTCATCTAGAGCATTAATTACATCACCCTGATTTATTTTAAAGAAATAGAAAAATCATGCAAAGGGTTAATTACTAAAAGTACATCAATGATACTTGGTAAGACGTTGTGATGCTTACAAGATATGTATAAACGTTATAAACTAGACCCTTGCAAAGTACTAACTAGGACCTAATAATCTTATTTTACGTTTATGTTTATTTCTGAACGGTATGGGTATTTAAATCCGTTTTTACAAACAGTGTAAACAAATTCAAAACAACGTATGAAAAAATCTACAGCGCTCTGGAAAAGTGTATGTTTGTGTGTTTATATGAAATCTAGCAAATGGCCAAACGTTGTCGCAGCGGGAACTGGAATATCTTCGCAGTTTATTGACGCACAAATTGCATTTAAACATATACAATCATTGATAGAATACTTACATAGATGAGTAATTACTGCCTAAAATCGTTGCTACTGCACATCTGTCCACAGGCATATGCGTAGCAAACGTCAATTCAGTGTTCAATGTGGCGTCAACCGAGTTGAACATAGCGACACATGACAGTAACAATCGCCAAAATGGGTAAATGCGTAGTGAAAGAATGCGATTCAAGGTCACAAAACACTAATAAATCATGCGGAATTACTTTTCACGTGTAAGTTTATGGTTTTTGTATTGATAATATCGTAAATAAGGCTATAATTGAAATAAAACACTGATAATTGTAATTTAGAATCAGTGTTACCATTAAAAAATCATTTTGTTTTTCCCACATTAGTGGGAGAATTTATAACTTATGAAATAATATGCTTTATACTGTTTTTAAACATTTTGCCAATAATAATAAAATATAGGAAGAACGGTAGTTGTTAGGGCTGGACCGATCACTTTTTTAGGGACCCGTTGAACGTTCACTGCTGGAGACTTTTGTACAAAAGAATTAATTTATTGTTTTTCTTAATTTATTATCAATTTTAAATAATAATTGTACAAAATAATAATAATACCTAATAATAAATGTTTATCATAAAAATAAAAAAGTAAATAAATATAAATAAAAAAAATTATAAAATATAAATAAAAATAAATAAAAAATAGTTTTTTTTTATTTATTTTTTAAATTATAATAGAATTTGCAATACACCCTGGGGATTATTTATTATCAGTACAAGTTGATCATTCACTTTTATTATTAAATGCTATTATTTTTACATACGTAAAAATAAGATTGTATCATGAAAGTAAAATATCCACACAAACTTATAAAAAAAGAGTCTAAAAGACAATTGTATACAAAACTGATGCTTCACAGCGCAGTTTGATTTTACACTGAATATAAACCCTTTTAACCAAATATTTCCAGTTATTTTATTATTTATACCTATTCTATTCAATTCGAAATATATTATTTAGAATATTTAAATTAATTTATTTTATTACAAAATTGTTTTAAAAAAAAAATGTTTCTTAGTTGTTATGGGTAAAATTTCATACGGTAGTCAACACTGGCCCACCATCGTAAAGTTATGTCTTGTCTAATCCGAGCGATGGTATTGTTCTTGTCTCGCGTGTAAATGAGACATAAATATGTTTACTTTCAAATGTTTAGTGGTATCAAAGCTACGTCGTCAAAGTTCAAAAGTGGTTACATTTTTTCGACGTGTGATAATGAGGTTTGCTTCTCTAGTGTTGTTTTAACTCAATGTATACAATTACCTCAAGTCATAAACTAATTTTTGATACCATTTTTTTCTTCTACGTCCATAGGATAATATATATAATAGCCATTAGGGGTCCAAAGTAGGGTAAACTTACCTAATATTGACACCCCACCGATTTATTGGCACCTTAAACTTTTTTATCTATAATAAGATAAACAGAACATAAACCATACTTTTTCACACGGGCAATTATTGGTATTTTTGTAATTTATGGAACGAGCAACACAGAAACAAATCTTCTTTCAATATGGCGTCTGAATAAAAACTTTTGTGTTGAGTTTGTACGTTGGTGTAAAAAAGTTTTAAAATCCTGGTTTTTTGCTAAGGTAAGACCTATTTTAATCTTTTGTTATATGAATAATCTTTTACAGTTTAACAACAAATATTGTTTTATGTGATTTATAAGTGTATTAGCTATGTTATTAGACTATAATTTGTTACTTTATTGTTGATTTGTGTATATTTTTACCTATGCTAATATTAGGGTTCAAAAATATGTCGTTAGCCTTTTTATTGGCACTCATGCCAAAAATAGGTTTTATTCAAAAATTTGCCTTCGATATGAAATATGTTTTTTTAACATTCTAACCATAAAAATATCATAAATTAATCGATTTCATAAGTTTATTTCGAGTTTTTCCAAATCTTGGCCCCGTGCCAATAAAGGTAAAACCATTTATTAGCATGAGCCAATAATTGGTAATATTAAGGTGCCAGTAATTGGTATGTTTCAGCTACCTACATTCAACATGAAACCAAGACCTAAAAAACCAAATAAGGGAAATTCTGAAAAGGTGACGCGTAAGCACTATTCGGAAGAAAATATGCAAAAGGCATTGAAGGAAGTAGGAAAGGGTATGAGCAAAAAATTAGCTGCGAAGACCTTTCAAGTGCCTAGAGCCACCCTGCAGTTTAGGCTTAAACATCCAGGTCATAAACTTAAACCAGGTCCTCCTACTGTATTAACACCTGAAGAGGAGTTGATTTTCGTAAATTGGATCAAAGTCAGCAGTAGGAAAGGTTTCCCTAAAAGGAAAGAAGACCTAATTAAGAGCGTTAAGGATTTTCTGATAAAATCCAAGAGAAAGACTTCTTTTAAAAACGGTGAGAAGTGGTTTACATTATTTTTAGTGCGCCACCCATCACTTGTTTTCCGAACGCCTGAAGCTGTAACAGCTGCCAGTTCAACTGTATCTGAAGCTGACGTCAGAGGCTGGTTTCAACAAATAAAAGATTACTTTGTCGAAAGTAATTTATTTGACATACTATCTGACCCTAGTAGAGTGTTCAATGGCGATGAAACCAATTTTGTACTTTGTCCTAAGACTGGCCTTGTTTTAAGCTCAAAGGGAGACCGAAATGTGTATGAAGTGGATCATGCTCAGAGTAAAACATCACTAACAGTTATGTTTACATTTTGTGCCGATGGCAACCTTACGCCGCCAATGGTAATTTTCCCATATAAACGATTACCAGGTGAAATAACGTCACAGATTCCAGAAGACTGGGGAGTAGGATTAAGTGACAACGGTTGGATGAATTCAGATATTTTTTACGAGTACATCAAAAATATTTTGCATCCTCATCTAGTGAAAACAAAGAAAAAGTTTCCCATAATACTTTTTGTAGACGGCCATAAATCTCATCTAACCTTAGCTGTAAGTGAGCTTTGTACTAGTTTACAGATAGTTCTAGTAGCATTATATCCGAATTGTACCAGGCTTCTTCAACCTGCGGACGTTGCAGCATTTAAACCACTTAAAACGGAGTGGCAAAAAACTGTTTTAGAATGGCGCAGAACGAATCCATCTCAAGCATTAACCAAAATACAATTTGTGCCCCTTTTGAAACATACCTTAGATAAAAGTTTAAAACCTCAAACTATTGTCAACGGTTTTAGAGCAACTGGATTGTGCCCATGGAATGAAGATGCAGTGGACTATAGCAAGTGCCTTGGAGTTAAAAAAAATAGTCAAAATGTATCTAATCCTAATAAACAAAAGCCAAGCCGTGTACTCACTTACGATGACTTTGTTAACATAGTCGGCAAACAGAAAATTAATAATATTATAACAGGAAATTTAACACCAGAAGAAGCTATTGAACCCATTACAAACATCTGGTATTTCTTCAGTCAGAACATAGATGATATGCCAAAGTTAAATTCATAACACCACAATAAAGATGTTGAGCTAAATACTAGACAAGAAAACAGACTTGATATTCAGAACATGGAAGTTATTTTTAGCGATTCTTTAAATCAAGATGGACAACAAGAAATAATATATGAAAAAATTATCGAGCCTTCTAATGTAACTAATGATATGGAGTATTCGTTCCAAGAACCACATTTTGAAATAGTAACCCATTCTGCTCAGATTAATGTTAATCCTGAACCAACTACCAACATAACACAAGGCAAACATAACTCAATTCAAATTGTTTCAGAGTCATTAATTGATATGCCAATAGTTACTACTACTATGTCTACACTTAACACCCCATCAGTTACAAATTTGACTCCAGTTAAATTAAGTGATATTCTGGTACTACCAAAAACACCTCAGAGAAAAGGCGTTAAAAATAGTGTAAAAAATCCTTTTGTACTTACGTCAGCAGATTGGAGAGCTAAAGAAAATGAAAAAAATAGGATTAAGCAAGAAAAGGCAGAAGGAATCAAAAAGAGAAAAGAAGATAGAGAACGTAAGAAATTAGAAAAGGAAAAGGCACAAAAGATGCCAAAGAAATCCAAAAAGAATGCCAAAGATGATGTTGTTAAGTTTTTGTTATCAGAAAATTTTTATAACTTTAACAAAGATGCTACTGTTGTTGAAAAGGAAAATGAGCAACACATAGATTATACAGATGAAGGAAACAGACAGTCAAAAAGAAGTAAAACTTACACTACTGCTGAACTGGAGGAGATATTAACTGAACTTGATGGGTAATGCCACTTAGATAGAACTGGTGAAAAGGACATTTTTATTTTTTATTGATTGATTGATTTTAATGATAGATTGATCTCATTTAGTTTAGTAATGTAGATGATAATACGAAACTATTTTTTTACAATTAGATTTAACAATAAATACCTATAAACCTCTAAGTTTTAAGTGTTGATTGTGTTGTCTATTTTATTACACCATTGTTCTTACCTTTATGTTGTATTTAATTTCCTATGGTTTAAAAATATCGGAACTTAATATCTTAACTTAATTTACCTACCTAGGTAGATAATTGCAGTATGTATCCATATCAGGAAAGAGGGGACAATAATAGGTAATTTTCACTGCCAATAAAAGGATTACTCATGCCAATATTTGGTTTATTCAGACTTTTCTTTTTGATTAGAAAAACATTCATGAATTTACTCAAGTTCGAAATAAAATTATTTTCAAATGTTCTTATATCTCTAATTAAACAATATTGATAACTAAGAACTTACTAAAATTAAAAAATCATTTTAAATTTTAATGTTTTGTCAAAGTAACCCCTTAAGGTGCCAATAAATGGGTGTCTTACCCTAGTATCTCAACGACTATAAAATAAAACAAAATGAGTTGATTTTTTCATTTTATTTATTAACTAGATGTTTACTTGACTTCCCGCAGCCTTCTTACTGCGGATCTGCAAGATGACGCAGCTGTTGTGGAAAATACCCATGCACCTCCAGCCACCGTCCTTTTACAGCGTTTGCATGACCAGATGCCCACACAGGACCTCTTCATTGCATCCTGAATGTTTGAAAATTCAAATCAAAAACAGACGGACACATTTTATTTACACTAACAAATATGAAGAGACTATTTTAGACTTGTCCCTGATACAAATGTCGTCGATATTTTTGAAGTTTGGTAAATGATACATTTTAAATTTGTAAGTAAATGTATGTAATGTAAATGATAAATTTAATTTTCCAGGTATGGCAATGTTGCTGTTATGATCATTGATGACCTATATTATTATATCTGTCGATATAATAATATAGGTCATCAGGTCTATTGACACTTAGAATTTATGTTAGTAGAATGCTGGTATTATTATTCCCGTCAACCCCTCCCCCCTTTAAGCTAAATTGCTTGTGTTAGGAGTGGGTTCACGTCGGTAGTCTACAGGTCAGGATTTGAACCCACGACCTCTTGATCGCAAGTCTCACGCCTTAACCACTAGGCTACCGCCGATTATTAAATAAATATTGAAACATACAATATTCTCATTTTGTTATGTTATAATGTTGATAATTATCAACATCATAACATACCCCAAAAATAGTTAAACATGTTGGTAATATGCTTTTAAACTATAATTTAGGAGCATAATGTTTATCTACTTTCGACTGTGTACATATTACACTTATTATAGTCCAAATAATTTAAAAGGTGCATTTTGACAGTAGACAGTTAGGGTGTCTACCAAACCAAAGTAAGAATAATCGATGCAGATTACAAATAAATTTCATTAATTTATACCAAAACATCGTTAATCGTTGTTAAATAGTAAGACTTATGGCTATTTATTTATCTTTTTTAAGAATTATGTTCCACACACGTTGTGTATAGCTAAGAATACAAACCAGGGTAAGGGTCGCGGGTGTATTTCTCAAAACGGGCTTCATTTATTAGGCACTATTGTGGCAATGGAATGGGAACCGTTAACTTTTATTTTGTTTGCACTTAGATTACTAGGTACCTACTCCACCCATTTAATTAGCTATTATCGGCTGGACGGGATATTCATTAGAAATTGTTAAACTTAAATGGGAATTGTTTTAAGTTTAGTTCAAATGGCGCAAAGTTTATTCTCTAGTCATTGTCAATTATTTCAACGTCAATTTCGCCTGTTCAAATGCATTTCTTAGAATATTTTTACATTAGTTGTTGAAAATATTATAAGAAATGCATTTGTTATATGTATATGCTGGTATGTTACATTCTCAGATCAAATAAAAAAAGTTAAGATGGCACTTTGCGAAGAACGAAGTCAAACAACACAAACATCATAATTCAAAATGCCCCAATTTAAAAAAAAAATAATATCACTACTTATGTTACGTTATTAACGTTATCAAATATGATAAAAAAATGCACGGATGGCGTAGTGGTTTAAGTGGTCGCCACGCCACTTACTACTTCGCTGAGTGTTGTGGGTTCGCTCCGCACATGGGAAACCACTTAACCCACTCCAATAATTATTATTCTGCATCTGGCTGTTCTTTGTCTGTCTCACGTTTGTTTGTAAAGTCCACTGTGACACAGAATATTTATTCCTAATGTGGCAGCTGTCTTTGTAAAAACAAACAAGAACAGTGATATGTCATCAATTCCGACATGAAGTGTAGGTAAAAGTTGTGGCAGTAGTGTAAAGGAAATGGTAGGTGTTTAAAAAATAAAATTACTGGGTAATTTAATGCTATTGTACATCTTTTTTATTCACTTTGTGCTGAATTAATTTTTTGTATGATTGCCTTTTACTTTCAATCAATTTGTGAAATGGAATATGGCAGAACCAATTGCTTAGGTATTACAATAACACACACCAATTACACCGTTACTTATGTCTCAGGGCATGCCCCCACAGCAACTATTACAACAAGTGAACAAAACTATATCCCTGTATTACAAATACATCATTGAAAAAATTTAATTAAAAAATTAACTAGCTGAGAACCAACCACCCAAAAGTAAAACAGTATCTGATGAAATAACTGGCAACAGAATCAAATTGCTCATGGTTTTTTTAAATATTAAATTGTCAATACTATAATGTGTATGTATTCATATTCTTTTTTACTATATTTATGTATTGTATTGTAACATATGTACCTATGTGTAATATGTATTGGTGTAGTATATGATAGGTTTATATGTGTAAATATGTGCTTTTAGTATAAAATTCATCCATAAGGTCCATAGACCCATCACAATGTTTTATTTTAATAAAAATATTGGTTTCTATGCTTACTTATGGGTGAAATGTGATTCCATCCTACTATCTATCTCTTGTCAGTTAACATAATCCAATTTATTTAAATTCTAAATAATGTTCCAGGAGTGTTAATCTAGTCTAATTTAATAATATAATCATTTACAGTAAAAAAGAAATATATTATGATGCAATTAAAAATACCATCCTTTTGTACCACATTTAAGGAAGGAAAAATTATTATTATGATTTACAACATTTACATGCGAGCATCAAAAAATTTTGCTCCGCATCATTGCCTTTTCCCAGAACGCAATGCTAATTCTGCAGACTGCTTTTATAAATGTGTAAGTTAAGTTTTTTTTGCAGCCTGTTTTTATTTTTGTTCTCTTGCGAATATAGACTAATTTCACTTGTGAGCAAATATATTTTATCGTGTTTATAAGGAAATCTAACAAGAGTTTTATTAAAATACTGCCTAAATTCAATAATATGATTTAACACATTTGATTAATAATAATAACCTGTCATATCTCGCACACAGCAGTCTGATTCCTAGGCAGAGCCTGTAATATGGTAACCAGACTGCTAAAAAACATACTTATATAGTTCTAAATATATACATATTTTAGATAAAGTACACCCAGACACAACAAATGATCATGCTCATCACACAATATTTGTCCTGGGTGGGAATCGAACCCACGACCTCCGGCCTAGCAGTCAGGGTCACTTGCCACTAGACCAACAGGCCCGGCACTTTATTTAATCCCTACTAAATATCAAGGCGTAGTTTTCATTGGCCTCACTTCTGTGTTCACAGAGTATTATCTTAACTTTTTTAATTTGATCTAAGGTGTCTCTAGAAAACATCACACCGATCCCTAAAGATCATAAAATAAAGATAAGGTGACGATCACCAAGTTAGGGTTTCAGATACAATAGATCTAAAACTGCCAGAGCTAGTTTACAGCTTCTGTATTTCCGATACTAACCTTGCCACAGAATGAGCACGTATATTTTGCGTGCTGTGTAACTTCCATTTTTTTCACCATTTTACGAAGCGAAGCTCCGTAACGGGTTCCATATTTGCCGGTGATGCCGACCTTTTTTGTACGCTTGGCCTGAAAATATTACAAAATTGGTTATGAACCCATTACTCAAAAACCTCCACTAAAAGTATGTTTGTCAACTCAAGTTGCGGGAAATATTTATAGAGCATTTAACACAATTCACTAGCACCGATTAAAAGTCATCGTAACACTGGTATTGTTGAGGGATTCCTAAGACATTTTGCAATTTATTTCTCACCATTTTAAGACACTGCCTATCTCTGCAGACAACAAAAAAGAAGAGAAATACTAGAATAGGGTTGCCAACTGCAGAAATTGTATTTCGTTTATGAACAGATTATAAAAAAAATGAGTTTTAGTACCGAATATGAGGCGAAAAATACCTTCACATTTAAAAAAATAAAGTGGCTGGTTTTTCAACGGGAAAATTCTTGTGTTAGGTAAACTTAGGTAAAAAAAAAAAAAAAGGTAAAAAGGTAAAAATAGTTTGGAAAAAAATCATTGGAAAAATTGGTTTGTGGCAAGAAAATCACCCATTTTTTTACGTTACTTGTACTTTGGCAGTAGGGAATGCCTGCGCACGGCTACTTCCTACCATGTTGCTCTATGGATTGAAATGTTCGAATAACAATTTATTATAAAAACTTGTTTGTCTAATCATCATGAGTTGGTGGAATTTTCGGAAGCATTTTCTAGTTCTGCGTAAAGTTATGTTTCTTTTGTATTTTTTTCTTTTATGTTACCCAGGGCCCCCATCGTCACGGGGCGAAAAGCGAATACATAGAGCGATATAATCGCTTATACTATACCTTTATTTTTCTATTTAAATCGATATAATCCGACAAAAAAGGAATTTTAGCGACTTTGTGTCTACCCCGGAGCAATAACATGCTAATGGGATTATTACATTGCGGAATGTGACAGAAAATATGGCATTGCCAATCTTTCCAAATAGGAAATGGTTCTCCATTTTGTCACCATCTAAGTGGTGGTCCAATCTTTACTTTATTGCAGTCTTCGTCTACATGTGTCTTCCAATTGCAAAACTTAGTAGTAGAGCAGTAGTAGATAGTAGTTGAGCAGTCGGGCATCAACATTAAGGCTCAATGCTCTACTGGGTGAGCAGTAAGGCTAGAGGATTTTGGAGTGCCGCCGTTTATATTTCGAATAAATATACGTCTACGTCTGCTATGTTTGCCGTCTGGGACACACTTAACATACTTGCAAGCGTGTAAATGGCCTCCAAGCGTTTGTAAAGGCTGCAGTACACATTGGACAGTGTTGGGTCAGGCTGCTTCCGTCTGTTCGTTTGCCCCCTCTTCCATAAACAAAAAATAAAAACACCACAGGCCAAGCTACGCCACGATTCCTTTGAAATGTGTCCAAGAAACTTACAACGCATGTGCCGATTGCGCGCAAAGGTGGCCAAACGTCAATTGCAAAAATTGTCACAAAGAACAAATAATTTAGCGTTACCTTGCATTGGCACAACTTGGTCCATATTGGGCCCTTAAGGGCTTGGAGCTTGTGGACGTTTATCAATCCGGCACGCATGTGAACTAGGCATAAGCATCATGTATAGTGTACAAGCGACCCGCCCCGGCTTCGCACACCTGCAATGTATGACATCCCACTACAAAAGTTTGTAATTCTAGGATTTTCTCTACTATAATGTGCATGAAGAAATTCAATTTATTTTATAACAGCCTAATTTTATCGCTTATAGGGGCTTTTCAATGGTAGTTTAAAAAAATCAGTGACAATGATTTTTATTAAATGAGCTTAAAAACACTATTACCAAAAATAAGTTTCATGTTTTGTAAACTCCATTTTACACCTTTAGGAGTGAAATTTTAAAAAATCCTTTCTTCGCGTACTCCTAAAGAACATTCGTGCAAAATTTCATGCTTCTATACCCACCTGTGTTTCAGCTGTGCGTTAATCGATCACTCAGTGAATCAGTCTGTCAGTTTTTATAGATATAGATTATCTATGGTAAGAATATTAAACGACCTACAACTTCTAAAAAGGTCGATTTTTAAATTGATGAGACCGTATATGTCTGGATGAATTAATTATATCTAAATTATAATTCAATATGCTGCGATCGATTCTTGTACGAAACCAAGTATTAAACGAAACTTTAAAAAAAGCAGTTCGAACAAATATCACGAGATGTATCAGTGCAGAATTGTCTAAAAGGAAATTTTCGAACAAGTGAGTACTGCTGTGTTTAACAGTTATTTATTTAAGATCCAAGACTTGTTGTTGTGTGTTGAATGTACATGTTGTTTTATATGTATTATTGTAAACCGACGAAGTGTTTGTTCGTTACCTAGTTGCATAACCGCAATGTCAATGACAGGAGCCTCTGTGAATAATGTCTGATGTGTGGTTATTATCTGCCGGCTTCTCACATTTTTCAGAAAATAAGTCTGAATTGGGTCACTGTACTACATGCGCCTATATTTAATGCCATATTCTTTTATGACAAGATAAAACTTATTTCTTGAATAGTGCAGACCATATAGCCATGTTAACTTCTTTAATTTGTAAATTGGCTGTTACTGTGCATTATATTTGTGTAATGTGAAATAATCATAATTTATAAATATTCTTATTTCATCAGTTATGCAATCTTATACTGATAGTCATCAAAGTGTATGGGACTCTTTATATCTTCAAATATGTTCCACTTTCTACCAACCAATTTACTTTTCAAATTTAATTGAACTATGACATTGGATGCAGGCAGCAAAGGACTGGTTGCTGTGGTGAACCTTGAGGAAAGCCTATGTTCAGCAGTGGATGTCTTTCAGTTGAAATGATGATGATGGTGTGATGTTTAAGCGAATGAAATCCTTGAGTGCCTAATCTCTGATATTGACTGAAACAGAGAACTGTTTTTTTTTGCAATTTTGTTATTTAGCTATAGTTGGTATAAAGTTATTCTGTAAAGTTTACATGAATGAAGGCAACAAGTTAACAACTGTCGTCCCAAACTGTGAATAGAAGACAAAATACTGGGGGGATATGTTCAAAACAATAGTGGTTTTTCAACTAAGAATAGAATTGTTTAATGTCTGTGGAAACATATGTTAAAACCAGTTCAGAATAACAGGCTTATTTATTTTTCGAAAAATTAAATTTATTTAGTTATACAACCCCATTAAAAATGTTGAGTAGATACCAGTCAATGTTAAATGATCTACACAGAAGTATTGATACTAGTACATACTAAAATTTTACATTATTGACATAATGATTACAGATTACATATGTTGTTAAATGAAACAGTTATAGATAAGACATAATTGGTGAATGATTTTCATATTGCACTGTGTAAGTTAGTGAAATAAATGGCTTTAACACAGATAACACTAAATGTAAGACAGGTGAAGCACAAACTCAATGTTGAGTCTAAATATAGTTATTTTGACAACTCTTGATCTCAAGCTTGATTTTCGTAAGTTTAAAGTAGGAGAATGTGATTTAATTTGAATGGCTATTTTATTTATGATTTAGTAAGGTATTAAACTATTATTTTATTGTTATAATAAGAATGAACATCATGTTCCTCGGCAGTATTAAAACCTTAAGTTTAACTAAATTTTTAATCTTATTGCTGTAACTACTTTTTGAAGTACTTTTATAAGCAATCTACGATCTGTCATCATCCAATCAGTTGTGTGTGAGTGATGATCATGCGTAATAAAATAGATCTGAAATTCTTATAAAAGCAAATATAAATATTATCTTATAACAATGACATTGATATTATGTAATTAGAATGAGGTATTCAATTATGTAATAACTACTACTCGAAGTAAGGTTTTGTGTTAGGCTGCAATTAATTCATGTAATTGTTATCTTTTTTCTTATTTGTCTTGCTTATACTTCCCGTGAAATTTATACTTAAAGTTTTTCATTTCACGATTTTTCACAATTTAATCTTTACATAGTATAAAATGAAGTCGCTTTTCGTTTTTGTTCTTGTACACTTTGATCTTGGTATTGGTATTGGTTGTGGGCTCCGGTTTCCACACTTTTAAACTAGGCAACCAATTTTAATGCCTGAATATATAATGAATATTAATAGTGTGTGAACTAACATCTGTACACACATTGAAACAGAGATTTAGCTGGATAGTAATAATATTACAGAAATGATATCATCATAATAATAATAAACTCTAATTTGACAAAATCACTCAAATCTATACACAAATCAAATCCATACATTTAGAGAACATTTCTAAAGAACTGGATGAATGTATGTCATACAATTCACATGAAGCTTAAGTTGCCTATCAATTTTAGTGTAGTATTAAAATGCCAAAATGACATTCCTTAAAAAATATTCTAGTTGTGTCTAGTCATATTATTGATTTTGGTATTATAGATATATTCTTGTCTTTTATAACTTACTTAATATATCACCATATCTGTAATTGGCTGGGAATGATGTATACTCAATATTTTTTAACTTTTGCTTCAGAATTTGTAGTCCAGATATAAATATATGTACTTTGCCACAATGGAACCTTATTCAGAAGAGATGTTACGCAGATTTACCAAGTCACCACAAGGTCATATTGCCAGCTCTATCACCTACTATGGAGAATGGTTCTATTCTAAATTGGGCCAAGAAGGAGGGTGACAAACTCTCTGAAGGTATGTTTTCTATCATATTATCTTTTCATAAATCTTCTTTCTAAGGAGAGGCCTATGATCCACACTGGACTATTAAAGGCTGTTGATTAGTCCCTAGTACGTCACCCAATTAAATAAGTGATTAAAACATATCTGAATTTTGTCAGTAGCTTCATTTTAAAGAGTCTACCAAACTTTCTTAATACAACAATTGTCGAAAGTGCTGCTTTTTGGCGGTAGCAAGCGTAAAGTGTGTCGAATATGTGATTACTTCTCTTTTAACAAATATGTATTCCATTTTAACAAATTAGACGCATAATTTACTAACAAGTTCAAAAATCTTCGTGCCCAACAAAAATTCTGCCACAAATAGTTTGTCTACCAACGCAATCATGTCGAATACACGATGTTTTGTTTTGCTACAAATACATAGTTTAGTTTTGCACTATTAATTACTAATAATTCCTTATAAATTACTAATTCCGACAAATTTTCTGCTGCGTTTTCTATAGCCGACAGCTCGAATATGACATGTTCGTGAGGTTGTTTCCTGAGAAATACATGTCGGACAAAACATTACACGGCGCATAATTATCACTAAATATACCTACATATAAAAAAGAGCACTGTCCGACAGAAGAAGTGATTCTTTAAGTCAGTCGGACAAAAATGAGGTGCCAGGATCTGAACGGGGAGCGAGAAAATCGTGGAATTGAATGGATACTATTAAAATAATTTATTTTATAAAAACTTATGGAAATTTACTTTCTAATAATCTGAAGCAGCAGTTGCAAGAATAACAATGTATTAATCATTTATTAAATTGGGTGACGTACTTACTGAACAAATAATTTCATGGTGAGCACGATTATTTGTTCTGTGTCTGGGTGTAATTTATCCATGATATGTATGTATTTAGAAATATATAAGTATGTTTATGAACAGTCTGGTTACCATAGTACAGAATCTGCCTAGTTTGGGATCAGACGGCCGTGTGTGAGATGTGTGAAATTATATAATTGTACATTTTGAAGTGTTGAATTGCAATACAATTTGTTGCAGGTCTAGCTCCAGTCTATCAACCTGTGTATATATTTTTAAAACCTATTAAGAGCAGTATTCAATTGGCGTCTTTTCTCACGTTTAAAAAGTCATTTATCATTATTTGAAGATATACCTACAGACATATTCTTTGCATATTTTGTCTTATATCTAAGTCTTCAGCCACGAAGAAATTTGTTAGGATTAAGTTAATAATACTAAAGTTAACTGATGACATATTTCATTGTTTTAATTTAAGGGGATCTACTTTGCGAGATTGAAACTGACAAGGCCACAATGGGATTTGAAACTCCAGAAGAGGGGTATTTGGCTAAGATCGTGATTCCAGCTGGTACAAAGGGTGTACCAGTTGGCAAATTGCTTTGCATCATTGTAGAAAGTGCGGACGCAGTAGCTGCTTTCAAAGACTTCAAAGACGATTGTAAGTTAATGTTGGGTTTATAATTCGCTGATTGGTTGTTTTTATTTATTACCAGTATTATTATCGTTTTGTGTTTATCCCGTGTTTATCCAATGTTTACCAACCCTGTTTATCCCGTGGGTGTCGTAAGAGCCGACTAAGGGAGCAAACTACGCAGGACAACAGCACTGCAAAGAGAAAGAAAACTTTCAGCAAACCCTATACTAACCCGTCTGGCCAGTGTTGTGGGCTACAACCTCTTGTCTAAGGAGAGGCCTATGTCCAACAGTGTACTATAAAAGGCTGTTCATCCTATTAAAGGATAAAATACCCAAATTTTAAAAGACATCATATCTTTGTGTTTGGTCATAAATGTTAAACCAAGTCAATCTGGTCTTGGTTATATAAGGAACCGAATATTTGAATAAGGGTTTTGAATTCATTCATCTTACATTCCGAACTAAAGAGTTAACGTCGTATTTAAGTCTTGTTAAAGTGTATAGTATATATAAAAATATGGTTGTATACTAAACAGTTTTACGCAAAATAACATAAATACTTCCGATGGTACGGGAGAAGTTATTTTGAACGCGTTTGTTTTGCTGGCAGAGCCCCAAGAGGTAATTACTTAGGGCTTGACGGATTTTAACACCGATTTGTAAATTACTCATTCATTCAGTTTGAAGAAGAGAGAAGACTAAATATATTTTAAACGACTGAAATAATGTTTCCCTAAAAAGTCAATTGAGTCGCCCTGTGTTCACTTATCTTGCGACTGAAAAAAAACAATATTCTTAGATGACAGAAATAATATTGTCTATAACAATATAAATATCAATATTATTTAACGGGAATTAACGCGATCTCTTATTTAGGGTATTACATACCTCTGGTTTGCCTGACGTTTCGACCAGGTTGCACCGGCCGTGGTCACCTGCCTGCCTGTGACCACGGCCGGTGCAACCTGGTCGAAACGTCAGGCAAACCAGAGGTATGTAATACCCTAAATAAGAGATCGCGTTAATTCCCGTTAAATAATATTAATTATCATGGAACGCGAAAGTTTAAAAGTTAGAATATAAATATCATTCTTGATGTGTACCTATTTCAAATTCAGAAGAATTGACGAAAAAATCAATACATCAAATGTCAAAATTGTATTGGCAGAGTTACAGGGGTTTGTCGTGGGGTGGTTTATCGGAATCGAACCGACTAAAACTATAATACAACTAAACAAAAGCTGTTGCTAAGTTATCCGGAATATAATACTTTAACTATATGCAATGACAATATTATAGTAGAAATAGGTTGTGTAGTTATGTAATATGCATGATGCTCATACAAGTATATATTATAGGCCTTGATAGTTCAACAAAAATATTGCATGGCTTACAATTAACATTTTTATTTGCATGATTTTAATAAAACGGTATTTACAGCTCCAGCGCCGGCTCCGAAACCCAAAGGTATGTCAAAAAATTTGGGTTTGTTTATATAAGAAAAAAATCCTGTTATATTTTTAAATCTTGTAGTTATAATTAGCGCTTATATACATACGTGTATACCCCTCTTTTATTCAAAATATGTTAGGAATTATGTAAATAATACAAACCATTGCTTTAAACAATTATAAATAATCTTAAAAATTAAAGTGCCTCAACGGTCCATGTAATTAGCATTAAATTAATCTTCATATTGTGATCATATCCTGAAAAGTTGCCACGGGTGACGGTAAGTGCTTCGACTGAGTTTTCACTAATTTTGTATATTTTGGTGTGATCAGCGGCAGCGGCTGCTCCCGCGGCGGCCCCGGCACCGGCCGCTCCGGCACCCGCCGCCCCGGCGCCGCCCCCCCCTCCGGCCCCAGCTGCGGCCCCAGCAGCAGCGCCTGCAGCTCCAGCTGGCGGTAGGGTGTATGCCAGCCCATTCGCTAGGAGACTTGCAGAAATCAAAAACATACGGCTCGGAGGTCGGTCATAGCGTATTGTACTTAATGGCAAATAGGCTTCGTGACGCTGTTTATTTCTGCTTACGAATTAAAATCCTATATCGCTAAACAAGATGTTATTAGATAAAAATGTCACATTACAATTTTGAAACTATTACTTTAATGACTGTGCGTGTCTTTTAAGTCGCTTGCTTCTTTTAACAACTAAATGTCGTTAAAAGTGTAGTCGATGCTTTTTCTGGAATAGTTTCTGCTCATCTTAGTTGATCCACTCATCTACTTCTCTTTCGCTATAATCTATTATTGTTTTATAATTTTGGCATAGCTGAATTAACTTAAAATAATTTTCTTTCATTTGCGATGGCCTTTTTCTTCACCCAGGATCTTTACTTTATCTTGCTGAAAGAATTTCTAAAAAATGTACGCAACTGCTTTAATGTATGTAGGTACATCACCAGTTACGTCAATCATGAGCAGTTCGTAATTTTTTTAAATTACAAAATGTTATTAAATTACGAAACTGGGTATCAGTGAATTGAAATTTGAGAAGAATTGATGAATATTGGTTGTTATTAATTCTCTCCATAACGCAACTTACCTTTGCTTTTAAGCGTAGCTTAACATGTGCGGTTATATATAATATGAGCTCTCTATACTAATTCCAAACGAAACTGAGCCTTCATATAAATTGTGTGCGTTATTTGCATGCTTTTTTAGTAATAGATATTTTAAATTAATTATTATTTTTATTTGGTCGATGGGTCTGTTCATGGAAGAGACATGCTTCGGCATAATCGGGGACCATAGTGATACCCCGGCCTCACAGAAAACCGATGTTATGCAATTCTTTTGTTGCTTTCCTATTGGCGAAGGTAGTCAATTACCATCAGATAACCCGTCTGCTTGTTTGTATGAAAACAATTATACTGCCTCGGTCGTACAGTGGTACCGTAGCGACTGCTGTGCTGAGGTCTCGGGTTCGATTCCCGGGACGGAACCAATGTTTGTATGATCTGCAAATATTTGTTTCGGAGTTTATGTGTTTTGTATATGTAATGTGTATGTATGTACAAAAAATTATATAAGTGGTCTATCAGTCAAGCTAACATTCACAGTACAAGATCTGCTTAGTTTCAATGTGTGTCCGATGTCCGAAAAAATATTATACCGAATTTTACATCTCTTGCACAACTTTAAACATTTCATAGGCCGATCAAATAAGGAACTGGAACAATTACAGTAGATGAATTATTAATGAATAATTATTAAAATACACATGTATGGTTAAAAATAATATTAAAAATAATATTTAAATTAATATTTTCGGACATCAGATACACCACTTCATCTAGTTTCAAACTAAGCAGAGCTTGTACTATGAAAGCTAGATTGACTGATAGAATACTTATGTATATGTTTATTAGCGTTCTAATCTATATAAACCGCTATTTTTTTTTAAACGTATACCGATTTCCGAGTTGTAAAAATAGAGAAAATTTAGCATCTAGCACACAATATAAAAATTAAAATTGAGAGTAAACACTAGCTTAGTTGTCATTATAAATTATTGTATTCTTATCTAAACAAATATTATTAATTATAGGACCTGAGAATAAATGACATAAATAGAAGGCTCAATTTCGATTAATCTAGTATTATGTAAAAAAGTAATGTTTTATCGGCTTGCATAAGTTGAGTTCTATTTATTTCATTTAACATCCAGGCCCAGGATCGGGGTTGTACGGATCGGTGAAGAGTGGCGACTTGGCAGGTATGGCGGCGGCCCCGGCGGGCGGCGCGGCGGCGGGCGGCGAGGCGGCGGCGGCGGCGGCGGCGGCGCCCGCGCCCGGCGCCAGCTTCGTCGACATTCCGCTCTCCGGCATGCGCTCCACTATCGCCAAGAGACTGTCGGCCTCCAAGCAGACCGTCCCTCACTACCAACTGAGCGTCACCGTCAACGTCGAAAAGACTCTAGCGATGAGGAAGAAGCTCAATGAGAAATTGGCTAGCGAAAAGTCTGACTTAAAGGTGAGTTTTATGTATTTGCAACCCTTGGCCCGTATTTTAAAAGGTGTCTCAGTCGTGAGTCTAATCTTAAAACTCATTATTTTCGGATTAGAATAGAAATAGATTAGATAGAAAGAGATTTTATTATTGAACGTCACTTAAAATAAAATTCACCGATCCACACTCGCGTGAGTGATAGCTTATTTTAGAACAATGTTTAGTCGAAATCGTCACTCAAGTATAGATTTTGACAGATGTGAACGTTTACGTGAGACAAGCTGAAACCAGTATCCAGCAGTGATCGATAGGGCATTTTAGTAATGTACGTGTTTTAGGATATGTTTCTGAATAATTACAAAAGATTATATCTACTTTACTTTATTTACGAAAGAATTACTTGACAAACGTATTCAATGCACTTAAATATTGATATTCAATTCATTTAAATTCACATTCAATCATTTACAGCCTTTTGGTTTATGACCAAAGTATTATATTATTATAGTAATATACATTTTAGAAATAAATAAAAAAAACATAGTTGGATAAGAAACATAAATAATTTGAACGTTTTGTTACAGCTTATAGCTAGTAATTTTTATTTTAATATTTATTATATTTACTTTACTATAAAGCTTGTTAATATGTTTGAATTGCTACACTAGTATAATTTATAAAATATATTTTTGTTAATATTATTAGCTGCGTGATACGGAATAATAATGTCGATCATCATCATCAACAACAGCCTGTAATAGTCCACTGGTAGACAAGCCTCTACTTAGAAAAAAAGTTTTGGCCTACTATACCACGATGGCCTGGCCAGACGGGTTGGTATGTCGATCATGCGGAAATATAATTGAGAACAGACTGTTAGTTCAAATCAATGCTTGGTACTAGTTTTAACTGAGTAAAACATACAACGCGTTCTATAATAAGATTGATGCTTAAGTTTTGATCTGAGGGCCAAGTGCGAGTTTATTTCACTTCTACTCGATGGTCACGGTGACCGCGCTCGGCGCTACGATTGGTCCGCACTGAAATTTCCGGCAATCGCCACGCTAAACGCGGTGACGTCGAGAGCGAGTCGATGTGAAATAAAGTTCAACTGATACTTGAGACGTCTTTTAAAATACGGGCTCTTATCTCCGTTTATCGGAATATCAAATGGATATCCGAGACAGATTGACATAACATGTCATGTAATATTATAATAGATTGTTGTTAATTGATGGGCCTTCGTCATCGGTCACTAGCATGTTAAATTAATTATTAATCCATTTTTACTGTTAAAAAACGAAAACGATGTTATTAAAATGTAATGTTTTTTTATAGATATCATTGAACGACTTCATCATTAAAGCCGTAGCTGCCGCTTGTAAACGAGTACCCGCTGCTAATTCCTATTGGATGGAAACTTATATTAGACAGTAAGTTTAATGTAAAGGATACTTTTGACACAATCTTTTTACTTTATTTATATTTCATCCCTGTTCCTATTATTTTCTTTTTTGAAATCTGTTTAGAACCCATAGAACTCATGTATGCATTTCAAGAAGAAGGTGGTCAACACCAACCCCAAACAAGAAGACGAAGTGACCAACCACGTCAATATGAGGCGCATAATCAGGCATCTTATAAGTTAAATTATGATGTATCTTATGCAATGTGAATACTACTTATTTTTTTTGAATAAAAATGTTGAGGTCATGAATCTCTCATTCGTCTGGTCAGTACTACATCTATAATACACACGAACACTATGACATATATGTACACAAATATATATTGTTGATGTAAAACATCTAATGCGGAGGGTCAGACCAGCTGTCGGCTAATATCTGCCAGACGTCCCGCCACGGCTCAGTTTTTTTAGTGTGTAATTGGCTATTAATCTTATTTCAGGTTCAGTAATGTAGATGTATCTGTAGCAGTAGCGACGCCAACGGGTCTAATAACTCCGATCTTGTTTAACGCCGACTCGCGTGGTATGCTTGACTTGTCGAAGAACATGAAGCAACTTGGTGCTAAAGCGCGTGAAGGCAAACTACAACCTCAAGAATATCAGGGAGGCACCATCACAGTGTCAAATCTTGGCATGTATGGTAAGCTGCAGATCAATTTTATGTGAAATAGTTGTTTATGTATGAACTTTGATTGATTGAAAATGTTATTCAAATAATATTACAAATACCGACACAAATAATTTAACATCTGCCTTAATTATCATGCAAAGTAATAATTTTCTAGTTTTCATGCCAAATTATTATCAAGGCGACGCCGAATTGTATTTATTTACATGTATGATTTTTTGGTTATCGACATCGTTTTGATACTTTTTGGGTTGAAAGAAATATCAATTTAGTATTTACATAACATTAGTTTTAAAATAGAAAAAAAATAACATACAGATCGACCTTCCTATTTTCTCTAAAAAGTTTCCTAATATAGCATATGGTAGAAAGTGAATGTACTCGTACATTAGGTTAGCTGAAGTAGGCATAGGTTAGTAGTTAGCGATATTATCCTGAATTGTCTTATTTATTTCCAGGTATTACAATGTTCAACGCTATTATCAATCCTCCACAGTCACTAATAGTGGCGTGTGGTGGATTACAACAACAACTTATTGCTGACAAAAATGAAGCTCAAGGGTAAGTGCTAATAATATAAAGCATTTATTTTCTCTTAAGTTCGTTTTTTGAATTGCCGCTACCTTCGTTGGGGAACACCCAAATACTCCGAAATATTTTATTCTAAATTTCGATGTTCCTATGTTTCCTAATTATTATGTCTATTGTTAAAATTAACTAAATTTATTTTACCGAAAGTCCTAAATGCGATTTGCTTATTTGCCGATTTTTATACTTTCGAAGAAGTGCTCAATGGCTCGGTCCGACAAACGACATTCCGATTTTCAATACTTCGAACAAATTGCTAAAATTAGGATTCTGATTCAGTTACGTATATATATTCAAAATATTTTTTTTTTCTATTACTTTTCTTCTATTACTTTGTTATTAATATTTGGGTATTAATATTTTTTTTGTTATCTTCTCTATAGGTACGTAGCTTAGAACTGTGACCGTTAAAGCGCGAAGGCGAGCGTGCCGCGTCGGCGCTAGATCCCGTTTATTGTTGTTAAATCATTTGAATTCATTCAAATTCGAATATTTGATGTTTCGAATTATCATTAAGTCGGATTTTTTGTTATTCGATCTATTGAAACTCTATATAACCTGCTTAAAGACCTTGGATTGCCAAGAGCTTCAGTAAGCTTTTTTCTTGAACGAATATCCAAAGCGGCATTGCTAGGCTAGACAGTGGAGGTGAGCGCTGTAGCGTCGCAAGCAGTACTCCCTAAACCCATTCCTGGCTCGCAATTCCCAGGCGCTGTCGAAGTCGCACGTTTTGCCCCCATTTATCACGCGATGGATAAGGCACCCCCACGGTTCATGCATGGAATACTAAGAAATAGGTCTTTATACTTTTCGGTTTACTGGCACACTTCATAAGTCTTAAAGGAATATTTTAAAAGCCGATAAGATCAGATCAATGGTTAATAGGGTATAGTATCTAAGTACCGGGTAGGACTACTGTAATTCACTCTTAGTTCATTCGCATAAGAAAATAGTGATGCATTTATAAAGCTCCGCCACCTGACTAAAGGCTGTTGCTGATGATGATGATGATTTGGAATGATTGTATATTTCAGCTTTCGATTGGCGAATTTCGTGACGTTTACCGCTTCAGCGGACCACAGGGTGATCGACGGTGCGGTGGGAGCACAATGGATAAAGGCCCTCAAGGAGAACCTCGAAGACCCAGCAAACATAATTCTCTGAACTATATGTAATTAATATCCTTCAGAACTGTTGTTGTTTTAAATGCAAGTTGCATTTATCAAATAAAAGTAAGTTTCCAAGTAAAATGGCATTTTACACCTCAAGGTATATTTATACAAGATAGAATATATAGCAGGGTGGTCCTAAGAAAAATCATTTTTCCTTTTATGTTATGGGGGCACCATATAATTTGATTATATACCATAAAAGCTGTTAGTTTTTTTTTTTAAATGACAAAGGTAGGTAATAACAGTTGAATTTTAAATAAAAGATCCAAACCTCCATATCAACTTTTTATTATTATTCTTACATTTGTGTATATTGTTATTTAGATTTTATTACATTTTTTTTTGTGTCAGTGGGCAGAAAAAGTTTAATTAAAACTTTTCTGCCCACTGACACAATTAAATCGTGGCGTCTAAGTTATTGCAGTGGCTAAATAATTGTCGAGGAAAAGTTGAAGGGATTAGAGTTGATTTTATTTAAAGTTTGACATGTAGCGACCTGTTAATAATATAAATAAATTAAAAGAAAAATCAGCTTCACATCTAAATGTATATAATGAATATCTAAATGCCCCGATGATAACTCAAAAATCGAAGAATTAGGCCCACTCTAATAATATAGCAAGCTAATAATTTTATTTGACATTTGTAAAGTTTTTTTTTTTCAAATAAATGTGTCACGTCGCTCCAGGGAATACTGGGCTTTATTTATTTATCACAAAAACATCCCACTATATTTAATATGTAATGGCCTAGTTATTTGAAGGATAGGGCTAAAATAATAAAGTTATTTATTTTATGAATCAAGGTTTTAGGTTTCCAGTTAATACTCGTATGAATGGATAACACTCGATTTTAAAGTTTATTAATTTGAGATTACATCATGAATGTACCCAAATCATTATTATACCTTATGGTAACATGTATGCTTTGTTTTTAATGTACATTTTTTATATTTATGTATTTATTGCAGAAATTTAATTTGTATTTTAGAAGGGGAGCAAAGATCTATCTGTCAATGTTTATAGATATTGTTTTGTGCCTGCAGTTAAAGTAAGTTAACAAAAGACGAATTGACTGTTAATGCGCGTTCGTAAAAGTTGGCGATGGTAATTTATTAACATAATGTATAGCATTTGATAGTAAAAATCGTTATATAAAACGTTAGTAAAATATATTTTATTTAAATACCATTTGTTTTATTTGCAATTGTCCTTTTACCATTTGCCATTAGAAATAAAGTACTGCGCTCCAGACAACAAATCGTCGGTGACACTCATAACGCCGCTGAACTCAAGTGGGACTAGGCCGGACACGTTTTCCGCTAAATTAGCACAACTTGGGTCCCACAAGGTCCTAAACGACAACGTGGTAGGCCCAGGCGACGATGGCGGGACGATCTAGACAGCCTTCGATAAGACTGGGCCGAACTAGCACATGACCAAGAGATGTGGTAGGGAGAGAGGGAGGTCTTTGCCCTGCAGTGGAACAACACATGCTAAAAAAAACAAAGGACAATGGGCAAAAATGTATGGCGCTTGTCCCATCGGCGGCCACATCTGTCCTATATATTTTTTAGTCGACAATTATGTATATATTAAGACTGCAAAAAATTATTTCGGCAACTTGTTTAGATAAAAAGTTATAAAGCGTTGATCATATAAAAAAATCGAATTAATTAAACCGAAAGTTCGTAAATTATAAAACGTAATGCATATCTAAGTATAAGATAATGATGGATTAAATAAAACTAAAGGTTTATTGGTTATTAAATACATCGATTTATTGACAGACACATACAATGCTCGTATATAATGCTAGTATTCCTTTAAAAAAAAGAAAATGATGGGATTCAATTGTCGTCTACAATAACATCGTTTAAAAAATGAGCTGGTAAACGGATCTCTTCCTCTTGGTTTCTCGCCCACCCTAAATACCACACTACACACATAATGTGGCCACAGCAACCAAGAGTGCGTTTACCGCTTAGACAACTGCAATAGTAGTTTTTTATGGCTTCTCTGCCGCTTTTCTCTCTATTTACTATAATGTACGAATAATATATTTTTGACCTAGTATGTCTAGATTGTATTCGACATCTTAGCAGCCAAACATTTGTTGCTGTGATGCCGTACCTGCCTAGGCCTGTAACATCGAGATCCCTATACGTTTCTATATTATAGAGACTTTGTCGCACATGCTCCGCATAATTAATCCTCCTCAGTCAGCAAAGGAAAATCACTTATGTTAGGTTGGTTTCCTGTAATGCTATCGAAACTAGCCCGTCTACGATTAAGGTTGTTGGCTAGGACATACTCTGCTAGGTTATTTGGTTGGTTCATTCTTTGGTTTATAACCTCTATAAATGTTTTAGCGTGAACGCTATCTGACAATGGTTCTCTGCAAGCATTCAATAATGCAGCACCTATTCTAAAATCTGTCATCATATGAGGCAAAGCACGATTGAAAAAGTCTTGTCGGAATAGTTTAAAATCGCGTTTGAACCAACCATTTATAACTTCAACAACCCAGCGGCACATAGTAACCAACCTAGACTTATTCGCTTGTTCTGTCGTCAATTGATCTTCGTCTCGATTTTTTGTTTTCGGTAAGTGAGCTTCATAATCATAGGCATGTAAGTCGTCGATTACGTCGCGAAACCCACGGTCTAAGATGAACACATCTCCATGTTCAAAGGATTTCCTTGCACTGGAAAGGATTTCCTTCGTCGTCAATAATATTTTTCATTATTTGTTCATCTGATTCTATGGCTGAATATGGACCAAAGGCATCTAAAATGTGGCCATCGCAGCACACTATTAAAAACGGTTTCAAAAAATTCGTGTATTTGTGTAGACTGTATGATCGCTTTTGGAATAAATAGTTTGCGGACTTTTGTATATATATATAAGTGGCGTCTGCTATCACAATTGCCTTTCTGTTTGAGGCATTTGCATTTCCAAAAATTGCATTTGGAACTTGTAGGTTTCGGTTAGCTACTACAATTCTATTAAGATGATCATAACCAAGATGCCGGGGAACGAAGTCCAGTAAAAGAGAGTCTCTGGCGAACGATAAATGTCGCTCTAGGGTTCTACGGCTCATATTAAAAAGCGTCGCCAGCCTTTCATTTGCTTCACCGCTTCGCAGTTTCATTAAGTAGCATGCCAAAGATGTTTTCGGGCGTGTTGATACGTTCGACAATGAAGGAGTTTGTTCCAAAATATTCATAAATTGGTCTCGACTAACGCCTAATCGGATGTATACTTCATTTGGGTCCATGTCATCTATATTATCAAAATCTAGTATAGGTCCTCGAAGCACCGCGATTTTCATGAGGCTCATGATATGCACAAAATGTGTGGCATTGAAGTCGTGGAGCAAGTTAGGGCTGTCAATTATTTGATCCCAATCATTGGATACCAAATGATGATCGCAAACTCTTGCACTATTTGGAATATAAAAATTAAAATGAATCAATAATGTCACTTTAATGTTATCCGGCATCCTTCGGAGATCCGTTCGTCTGCAGTTTTCATACATACAAAGCGTTGCTGTATTAGGGAGTCTTGAATATTCTTCAATATGTAATACACATTCGTGTGGACGGTCTTCTCTTGGCTGCGCAGCTCTTTCTGCCCGTTGCCAGCATGGTCGACAAATGTACTCCTGGCCATTGTATTGTATCTGAAAATGAGAGTATTACAATTAGTCAAAACGCTTAGTTATTTTCATTGAACAGCGTTCAATAGCATAACAAAGCGAAATATAAAGAAAAATAATAATTTCGTTTGATGTACTTACCTGATGTTCAGAGGTCAGAGCTTCAAAGATATATTTGCCTACAGCGGGATAAATAAATAAATAAATGGTGCAAATTAATTTGTCTAAAACTACTGGGACTTCGGACTACTATCAAACATTCGGCAATAGTGGGGTCAAAGTATGTATTTACCTCAAGTTTTGTGTAACGGGCAGTAAAATGTTGCTTACTTATTATTTCGGGGGTAAGTTTGCCGCGTACACTGAGACCGCATTAAGAATAGTAAATTGTACGGAATTAAACGTTTCTAGATTCGAACGGTTCAGGTTCGGTTCAAGAAACGAATCCGAATTTTGGTATCCGTGATGATAGTGAAATTTCTAGACATGACAAGAGCAACTGTGTTGTATTTTTTAACACATTGATTACGTTAGTATAAACCTATTTTTAATTAACCTTGTTACACGTTATTACCTTATAAATATTCCGCTTGGTATATAGGTGATGGACAGTTGTCCTTGCGTGCAAAACTGTACTCTGTGGTGCAAAATCAAAAACCGCACGCCATTTGACATTACATGACACTGAAACACGTCATCTATGAAAAAAAAAACGTGACTGAATACATATATTATATGTAGTACATTAATATATTTAAATAATTTAATTTCTATTCAGAAGAGTTTAAGGTTGTTAAGGTTAGCTGCATTGTGATTTTATTATTTTTAATGTTATAATATAAGGGGTCGCGTGGTCCGTGACCATCCCAATATGGTCTAGTGCCCATCCAAGGATGTTGGGTTACCGATTCGAAATTCTGAGATGGACGGCTAAATAACTTCACACAAAAATCATTTAAATAATTATATGCAGCCGAGAAATCTTAAAAGCTACATAGGTAATTACTTTTGAACAAAGACATATAATATTAAATACACATTAATTTATTTATTAAGCTCGAGTACAACGCTCGCACCACAACTAGCGTTGAAAAAAAAAACAAGAAAAATTCTCATTTCTTTCCAATTCCATTCCAGTTTTTTTCCATATTTCATTCAAAGGTTTCAAGATTATTTTTTTTATACCCAGTAGTTCCATGAAGACAGTTCTACATGATACTGATGTAACATTAAAAACATCTGCTATCACCATGTCCGTGTGGTGACATGTGGGTTTAAGAATAGTGTGTAAGAGACGACTAAGGGAGCAAACTACGCAGGCCACCAGCACTGCAGAGAGAAGGAAAACTTGACACAAAACCGTATACCAAGCCGTTTGGCCAGCGTGGTATAGTAGACCAAAACCTCCCTGCTAAGGAGAGACTTATGTCCAGTAGCGACTGTTAAAGGTTGTTGATGATGATGAACATTAAAAAGACTATTTTTGTACCATTTGTTCCATGTAATTTTATACTACTTTTACAGGTGACATTGATTGTTTTTTTCTGAAAAACAAAGAAAAGCTCCGGCGCACTACTGAACGTTAGAAAAACAATCAATGGCTATCTATTTTATTCATAAAAAATAACTGTAAAAGAGGTGATGTTGTACTTGATGATGTACATATATGGAACTAGTGGGTTGCAAAAGTTTCATGTGGAACTGATTTCATGGAACTACTGGGAATTAACCGAAAATTTGCTAGTATATATTTCATTAATGAAACAGAAAGCATTTAATGTTTTTTTTTTAAATACGTACTTAGTATAGTTAACTTACGTTAGGATATCTATGCTTTAACTCTTTCCAAAACCGATTTTTAACCGACAACAAAAAAAGAGATTTTTGTTTGATCGCATTATTTTATTAATGACCTTATTTTGTAAATCTTTTTTATCATAGCATTAGTTTTAACGAAAAATTGGATTCTTCTGCAAGTCTTACGACAATTAGTAGGTAGAGACATATTTAATGAAATAAGCCTTCATCAAATAGGTGAATACCCATCATCAAACCATTTATCCGACTTAATTAAATGGTATTGAAAAATACATAAATATTCAAATGCATTTCTTTAAAAAAAATACAATGTACAACAAGACAAATTGGCAATAATACAATAACTACATTTTATTTTAGGGCCAATAAATATTTTAAATACATTATATGTATTTCTAGTCGTTTGAGTAGGATAAAAAAAATAAACATTGAAAGAAAAACATCTTGAAAAAATTATGTTGGCTTAAATAATAATTTGACGCTTGTGTACCAGACTGCGAAAACAGTCAATGAGTTTTACAGACAATAAATAAACGTGTAATAACTTTCAGACAGTAAAAGTATTATAATATTTTAACTGGGCAGAGTTCACTGCTTCTACAACAGCTAAGTTCATATCGTAGTTTTTCATACGCCAGCGAACTTTATTTTCAGTATACAGCTGAACACTTTTTCAAGTTTCCCCCCGTATGAGATAATTCTTATTGCCTCTACCCTCTACAATCCTTTTTTTTTGTTGACAGGGTGGAAAATCCCTCCAGATTTCCTACTCCTCGTGGGCTCATGAGCCAGGAGTATGTGGTATTTCCATTAAAAATCACCCCGCCGGCCAGCCTCAGGCACCCTACTCTGGGAGGACCCGGACCATGTGATTCCGTGGACCCGAATCGACAGCTTGCCTAATCAGGCCCCCAGGGGAGAACACTTCCCCTCTTCAATCGCGGCGTAGCGTTGCGTCTTAGTGCGATCAGGCCGCCATCAGAGGTCCCCACTCTCCTACTTTGTCACTACAAAAAAATTCAAAGAAAATAAGTGTAAAGTTATTTTAGCAGCTTTTCCTTAATGGGGTCTGGATAGGCGCGGCGCCGATTTGGAGAGACCCTGAAACACATGGTCCAGATCGACCCCAGAGTAGGACGCCTGAGGCCTATCGTCGGGGTGGTTTTTAGTAGAAAAACCACACACACGTCCTCAAGGAGCCGGAGATCCGAAGAGATTTTCCATCCCATCAAAAAAAAATAACAGTATACTTTTGAGGTATGAATTTATGCACTACTCTCACTCACATACCTAGCACCTAGTTATTGACTCTACGTTGGGTATCGATTCTGCTTCATTGTATTGGCCATGGAATGTTAGGAGCCAGCCCCCCCTGAAAAATAACCCTAGATACGCTAATGACTCAGTCAGAGTCATTCGGACCAAACCTCTTAAGGTTATCCCACTACGTCATCATCATCATCGAATACAACTGATTTGTTCTAGTAGTAGTACTTTAATAATGTTTTGTAAGAGCATTGGTAATACACCAGTGGAGATCGCCTTGTGATCAAATTTTGACCATAATTCATTACCCTAATAACATAACGTGGTTAATCATTAAGCAGAAAAATTTGAATGGTCATTGTTGCTTTTTCATGACAGCTCAATATGCAGACTGAGTCTGTAGCTGTTCATTTTTAAATTTATAACACCTGTTGATTAACATATTAGCTTTCTATTTCTTAAAAGCTGTATTAAGAATTCTCTTCACGTAATGAAGGTATGATTGTTTTGACTTGATTAATTTTACTTGTCAATAAATAGTTTCGTGTCGATGAGAATTAATGATAAAATAAGCTTAAACCTAAAAACAGAAAAGACACCTTTTTCATTTCCTTTATTCATTTTTTGGTTTTATTCCAGTAAGAATATATCAATCCCAGGACTTTATGTAAAGTTATTTCCTGCAGACTTGAACATTGAAAAGTTCACCCCTTATGTATTCTTATAACGCTCTACTTGAATATAAAACTTGTACCCGGGGCAATGGAAGCGGTGATGGTCAGCAATTCGCAACAATTTTGGGAGACATATTTCATTGGGACTTAAGAATCAAACACGTAATTAAGATTATGTAGAATCTTTTCTAATTTAGAAATGTCTAAATCTTAATTCGTTTCAAATCAAGTCTTTTGCTATAATCTGCCCGAATCGTTTGCCTCAAAACATATCAAGTCGCATTCGCATTGAACTGCTTTTTTAAGATTGATATGCATAATGCGAAGCGTTCAAAGATCAATATAAAACTCTACCACAGTATCACCACAGTTCTGAGTTTTTAAAGTTTACGGAAACCGTTAAAGTGAATTACTTCGAAATGAAGCTAAATACAGAAATTCCTTTTCACCATATCCTTTGATATTTTTTTTTGAGAAATATGGTGTCAGTAGAACCTAAGTTCTTTATTTTTAGAAAGGATTGACAAAACGTTAGATACTTGGGGGAGGCCTATATCCAGCAGTGAACGTCTTTCAAATGAGAAGAACAAGACGATATCGTTAGCGTGGGGAAATTCATTGCAAGCCTTAATTTTTGACCACAACCTTTCTTTAACCTTTTGGTTGTTAGTCATATTACTCGCTTAGATTTTATTTTTCTGATTTCTAATAAGCAGTATCATAGAGTAGTCAAGGACTGTAAATGTCTCAAAAATAATGGGTCTAGAGGTAGCTAGAGGCTACAAAGACCCGTGGAGTCGTGTCTATGCGATCAATAGTTTGTCATTTATGTTTAAGTGCCCTTATTAGTGTAGACATTAATTGAAACTATTAATTTACTTACAAACTCTGTAATATATAAAAAAAGAACTAATTGAACTCATTTACCTAACTCCTAAATAAACTATTATAGTTTATTTAGGAGTTAGATACGATCGTTTGTTTAGGGCCCAAATTTTTCCCTGCTGCATACTATTATCAAAAATCTATTCTGGACATAAACATTGAATTCCATGGAAGTAAATAAACAATACTAGCCATGTGTGACCATACATTCCGTAATATTAATAAAAAAAAAATTTTTTCAATAGGCAGAACAGTGTCGACAATATGACTGCCAAAACTGAAGTTGGCGTTGGACCGTCCGAAACGACTGTTAAGAAAGACAAAGAGGTGTTAGTGGTCCAGGATCAAGGACTCTTTACGTTTGAAACTGCGGACACTTACGACGGTTGTTTTGAAGCTAAAAAGAAAGATCGCATTGCTAAAATGCATGGTCTGTATATTTTTTTAACAAGAAATCGAAACAGGTTAATGAAAGCGTTAATGGAGAATACCAATCGTTAGCACAAATTGATTAAAGGGTAAACAACGCAGTGCAGTGTAGTAAATGTTTTTTTTATGAAGTATACGAGGGAGTCTGAAAGTAGCGCCACTGGATGAAAAGTTAAGAAGTAATAGTTTATCTTGGTATGGACATGTCATGCGGAGGGATGAGGAAAATGTGGCGAAGAAAGTTTTAGGTATGAGAGTTGAAGGGTACAAGAGAAGAGGCGAAGAGAAGAAGAGGTGGATGGACTGCGTCAGGGAGGATATGGCTAGGAAGGGAGTAAACAGTGAGATGACGCATGACAGAGTAGAATGGAAAAATCATACATACTGCGCCGACCCCAAATAAAATTGGGAAAAGGGTAGGCAGATGATGATGAATAGTGGTTGGAAAACATTTTCATACATTATTATTTATACATTTCAAGTAAAGTCGACCCTGCATTACGATGCAACTGACTGCGTCTGTACCTATCCCAGCATATATTATATGTATATATATTATCTTATCTTTATATATTATCTTTTTCTTAGCTCCTCAAGGAAGTAACTTGCTATTTCAAAAGAAGGGTTATAATGCTTACGTAAATTTTGTGAAATTAAGAGAGTAAGTAAGTAAGAGTCGTTTACTGCCATAGAAATCATATTACGATATAAGCAAAGATAATCGTGCACTATGTACTTTGCATATATAGGTCCTCGGTTATCAGCGATGCCATAATTTCAATGGCACGTTTCGATGCCATAATTTCAATGGCACGTTTCAGCTACTTCTTGGATTCACCGATGGCTTTGACACGTATCGTGATCTCTACACGAAAGTGGTGTGATCCATCTATTGTATTTTTTCAAAGAATTGCAATATAATATAATGTTAAAAAGTGCTAAACGATTAATGTATATGCATGTGATGGTACATAAAGATGGGCTCTAAAATTAATATTTTACCTAATGCCTACCCAGGCACATAATATGCACCACCTGCATAGTGTGCATGTCTATTTATGTTGAAGTTTAACACGTATCGAAACTTGGACTACCTTCTAATATCTACCTACACGACTTTAAATTTCGTTAAACACAATAGATATTTATCGTATTTGATTCGAATGTGGTTTATTGAACCGTGTAAGTAATTTAAACCAAGTCGTTTACAGAGAAGCGTTACGCTCTGATTACGTAGTCTTGAACTGAATTTGTACGGCTCTTTGTACTCGAATCTAATGACGTTAAACTTGATTTACGCATCGTTGAATTACTTATACAACATTACGTTCTAGGTGTCGGTGTATACACAACAGCAGAAGGTGACATTTACACTGGAACTTGGGACAATGACAAACTCGGTGCAAACTTAGATGTTCGGATACAGTATAGCGATGGCTCCCGATACGAAGGATTGTTCAAAGAGTGGTGCTATAATAATCGAGGAAAATATATTTATCCTGATTCAAGTTTATTGGAATGCGAATTTCTTGAGAACTGCCCTGTAGGAAAGCTAAAACTGATTGATCCAAATGGACATGTCTGGTTAGGTAAAGCGGAACAGGGATACGGTTGGCTTAGTCCCGTCAACCATTATTTTGACATGTTGGAGAAATCTCGAGATTCTAGTAGAACAAAGAAATCGAAAAAGCCTGAACAGGATACTGTTAAAAGTCGTAGAGTATCTTTATCTCCAACAAAACCATCCTCTCCAACGAAAACGTCTTCGTCGCCAACAAAACCAAAGAAAAAATAATGTAGGTGAATAACATTATGGCTTATAGAAGGGGAGCCCATGATGCTAACTGAGGATATACAGCGAGACCTATTGCATTTGATAGATTAGGTAATAGAACGAATAAAAGTTTTATAATGTTTCCACTTTCAGCGGGTGGAAAAGCTTCTACAGGTTTTAAAAAATGTAAAAATGTGGCGATAATTTTGAGGGGTATTTTTTGAGGTTTCGTCACTCCATTCGTTTTCCGTCTATCTGTCTTTGTCTGTCAAGTTTCAGAAATAAGGTAGTTTTTGTCGTTGCACAGCCCCCCACCCACTTCCCACTTCCCAAATAACAGGACTTCCCAATAATCTAGAATTATGAAATTTGGCATGTGTGGTAAGTACAAGTAACAAAAAGGTCAGAATGTTGTTATTTCATTTTTGCCGATTACAACTTTAGGTATATTTGTCGGTTTGAAAATTCACGGAAAAAATCGAAGATATTTGCCAGCAGTTACTTATTATAATTAGGTTCTTTAAAAGATTACAAATTTTAAAATGATGTTGTTTATTTCTCAATACATAAATAAAGGTTTTTTTTATCTGACATGACTTTATATTTTTGTCACAATTAGAGTTTATTGCCCAGTGAGCGATTCTGAGACGGGCGATCGAACACATGCGTAAATAAATACTTGAAGTACGTTTGCGTACTGCGAGTTGTCGGTTGTCCGGAAAGTGACTCAGTTGCAGTGGTTTTACTGAACTTGTTAATGTATAGGCGTATTACGATCATTTATATAAACAATCGATAGGTCTGTATGTCAGCAAAAGAATGTTTGGATTGAGAAACTGGTATCTGATAGGTAGTTACTTAGTTAATTATCTCTGTTGAGTAAGAATGTCCTGAAATGAGTACGTCTTCTTGTATATGTCATTTTTTTTTATTTTGACTGCAAAGATGGCGTAGTGGTTTAAGCGGTCGCCACGCCGCTCACTACTATGCTGAGTATTGTGGGTCCGTTCCCCACACAGGACGACGCTTTGTGTGATCCACAAATTGTTGTTCCGAGTCTGGGTGTTCTTTGTGTCCGTTTCATGTATGTTTGTAAAGTCCCCCGCGACATATGATTTATTACTAGTGCGTTGTTGCGGAGTTGTCTTTTAATTAAAAAAAAATATATAAAGACAACCGCACTATGAATAAATCCTGTGTTTGTTGATATTGGTTATTTAAAACCAATATCAACAAACACAGGATTTTATGCTTGTGGATATTTTATGCTTGTATATATTTTATTTTTATGTTATGTATGTTATGCTTGTCATACTAAATTAGAAGAATAATGTGTATTCCATATATAAAATAATTGGGTTTAGTAATCGTTTGCGTTTCTCTTGTTGTGTTTTTGTACAGTTATGTTGTCCGTGTGCGACTCTTCTATTACGGGTTGGACTTACAGTTATGCAATCCTGGGCCACCTCGAGGTACTTGACTTTCTAGTCTGTTTCTCTAGCTTCCTCGCCTTAAAACCTCTCTTACTTGTTGACAAGCAATGTAAGAATTACTCGACACTAGGCAAGGAATAAAATCACAAGAGTTTTCTTCTTCCATTCTCGTCTGCCACTTGTCATAATTTTTAACGCAATATTTTATTTCTTTGCAAATTTGTATTGGTTTTTTCTTTTATGGTCGGCCTGCCTGACGTCATGGTATGAAGCAAAATGGCGTTAACAACGTGCTCAGGTCAAGTTTTAAGTAAAATCTGTCGTAATAGAATGTCAATACAGTACTCCTCTGTCATCATTGTTCACATCCCATGTTCCCTCTGCTCCCTGGAAGCGAGCGCGCTTCGCAACGCGCTCGCCGCCACCCTGGCCTGCTTCTGCTAGGGTGACAGATGGCCAACTAGCTTTAACCTGCCAATCTTCGCTGTGGCACATTCTGCTTGCATTGATGGGAAATTTGAAACTGTTTTACTGACGCGATAAATAGATAAAAACAATCTTTGAAGCTGGTTGTATATAGTGTCAAAATTTGAGCTTGGTGCAGAACTTTTTGAGTTTTGTATGGCTTATTATGTTAGAATTTTCTCAACATCTTTGACATGTGCATGAGATAAAGTGTTAGACTTAATCGTCATCATCATCAACAGCCTATACTAGTCCACTGCTGGACGTAGGCCTCTCCTTAGAAAGGAGGTTTTGGCCTACTATACCACGCTGGCCAGACGGGTTGGTATAGGGTTTGTTTCAAGTTTTCCTTCTCTTTGCAGTGCTGTTGTCCTGCTTAGTTTGCTCCCTTAGTCGGCTCTTACGACACCCACGGGATGAATTGGGGTGGTGACAATTTGTATTCTTAATCCGTCACCACACGGACTTAATAGTAACTCTAAAATATTAAGGTGGTCTAAACGTAAAAAGAATTAAGTTGCCACCTTCAGACTCTTGAAGCTAACTTGAAGCATTACTTTGGTAATGAAGCTCATAAAAATCAAACTGTCTTGATACAAACAAAGCAACAAGTGCTAGGTACTAGCGTGTACGTGTTGCAATCGTTAACGTTTAGAATGGCTCGTTTAGGTTGCGCAATATTACTATTCTCCACTTGGCATGATGATATTTATTTGCATATACAGTCATGGTAGACAACTGGCCGCCTACAAGCAATCCGTTTTGTTGTATCACATCACACGCCTGTGAACGAACTCTTTGGTCTGTTGTTTTAGCCTCGAATAAACACCCACATTTAAATAGCCACTAACAGAAGGCCTCTCTATTGCGTACCGATTTTACTTATCACACCTATTTGTGTACAGGTAAGAGGCCCGAGGTAGGTCAGTTTAAGTGGTGGTACGACACAGTTTGATCGAGCATAGGAGTGGTTCTGCGTGACTGGTAGTCATGTATCTTGCGAATTTAATGCTTGATGTCCATAATTACTAATAAGGAAGGACGACAGAATGGATGCCAGGTGAAGGACAGCGGTTTTACGAGCTGCTTTATAGGCTGTTCAGTAATTAATTTACAGCTTCGTTTCGAGTTTGAGTTACGCGTGTCGTAAACAATGCTTTTGTCTATAACTTTCCTGGAATGTGTTATGCCAAGTTAAGTAACATTAATAAAAAATATGGATAGATAACTTCGTGCTCGTATTTCGTGGTCATAGCTGATATTTAGATCTTAATATCAATGGTTGCTTATCCACTCGGTTATTGTTCAAGAACTTGTTACAGCCCATCAAACTCTTCTTGTGAAAAGTTATTTCTCTGATGTAGGTTCGTACTAGATATGGACATTATTGCTACATTTAAATCATATTTACACGCAGTCACAGCGATTTTACATGTGATGGTGATTTCGTCATAGACAAAGATAAATGGCAATAAATTCAATCGAAATTCTTTTTATCAAAGATTAGGGACTTTCTATTTTTAGATTTAGACCTTTCGCGAGTCTTGCGCTAGCATAACAATAATAATTAAGTCACAGTGATTTTTAAATCAGTCACAGGTGTCATGATATGATTTATAAATCGTTAGATTTATCACATGTGATTTTATTCCATCCTTAGTACGTACTGGTATTTCTTCAAGAACTAGTATTGTGTGTGTATAACGCATGTAGGTAAAGGCCGGTCAAGAATTGTACGTTGTAGAAGCTTTTATGTCATTTTTATGTAAAGCATTTTAATACCAAGTAGATTGCAGACTTCAGAAAAAACCTGGATAACGGATATTCAGTGACTAATTAGTAAAACTTTTTTAGTAAGAACCTACTTGTGTGTAAGATCATTCTTACTATTAATATACATTATCATAAATGCTAAAGCGACTTTTTTTGTTTCCTTGTTTGTTATTATTTCAAGTTTTGCCGCTGTAACAGTGATGACAACAGGTGACTAAGGCGTCAAGCAAAAGCTTCGCTCATTGCCTAAAAAAAAGAAAGATGTGTAAAAACGCAAAGCAACTAAAATACAGTTTACAGTACGGGTTTAATGAATAAACTGAAATAGGTATTTCATAGTTTCTTCTAAAGAAAATACCCTGTACCTATTAAGCGAAAGTTGTGACAATATGAATGACGTTAGGCGAGAGGTCTCCGTTTGTGTAAATACAGTTCATTTGCGATTATATATTATCAACATCGCTTAAACTGTACCTCAATGAACTAACGCGTTTCTTGAGTAGTAATTTATAAAAAAAATGAATTTATTTGAAGTTGAGCAGTGGTTTTGCACATTTGTTTGTTTAAAAATAATATTTTGTAGGGCAGATAAAATAAATATAAATTAATGTTCCTCTAATGCTTCACCTCTAATGCTTCACTTCTAAGCTAGTCCTTCTGGACACAGGTAGCTTCTTTACAAAATGTCTAAGGCAATTTGAGTTTAAACAATTTTTTGCACTATTTTAATTCGCTGCAATAAAGCAAACTACATACATATTTGACAGGTGTGTTGATCTAGTTGGTTGTCTGACGAGACTGAGGCCAGGCCAGTGGTTCCAGTTACCTATCTCTCATATATGTTGCAAGTCCCCCCCTCTCCTCATATCAATGTAAATTGTTTCTGTTTACGTTGGTAGTATATAAGGTGAAGTTTGACCTCACAATTACAATATAGCAGGCGCGATGTGTTTGCTGTAACATTTTCGCTTCTTTATTACAAAATGTTCGAGGACTGTTATCAGACTGTACTGAAGTCGGTTATCGAAACGACCATGCTAGCCTTTAAAACGACAGATGAAATTCAAAAGATGTAGGAAGATAAATGTGTTTCTCGAAAAGGTGAAAACCTCTTGATTCAAATTGACGGGTATCTATTCACTAATCGTATAAGGAAGCAACGTATAAAGTGTAAGTTGAAATCGTTAAAAGCTATATACGGAATTACAGCCATTAGTACTTGCTAATACCCTTTCTACATCATCATAAGCCGATAGCAGAGTGGTTAAATAGTTACACAGTTTCAGGTTCTTAGGAATTTCCCATGCCTTTTTTGTCTTGCCTAAAACCGAAAAAGGAAAATTCTACTCTGTAATTGCAATAAATATCAAGAATTATTATACTTAAGTTTAAGTATTATACTTTTTGTACTTAAGTTTACAGCTAGATTTCAACGCATTACATAAAGTCTTCGATAAAATTAGTGCTGATTGTTTTCAATTGTCATGGTTTACGCTATCTGTGCATAATCGGTAAGATGCTCTAATCATTACACTATTAATGTGATAATGCGGAGCGTTACTCTCTTGTGTGTATTATTATTTTCATTATTAAATACTGGTTAAGAATATTTCAGAAATGAAAATTGATATAAATATATGAATATCTATACATATTTATTTCCTTTTTATAGTTACTTCCCTGATATGCAATATAGTTTGCGGATATGTACTATAGTTTAATCCAGTGATAGCCAAAGTCGTCAACATTGACCCCAATTAGTGTCGATGACGACTAATACCACTGCGTTACACGATTTTGGTACCCCCTTAACTGTTAACTGGAATGAATAGGTAATGAGCCTTAGATTAATTGTTCCAAACATATGTGGTTAATCATTATTTCTACTACTCTCACTTTAGGCGTAAAAGAAACAGTTACCGTTTTCGATGTATTGTACGTTTTTATTATTTTATTTTGTTTAGTAAGCGTCTTTTTTCGATAACGTCGACAATTTTGTAAATATTTATTTGAAAATCTAATATGAAAACTGGGCTAAGTGGTCGTCGCAACTGCTTAAATGCGGATAGTGTTGTGAAATCACAAACAAAAAATGTTACCGAAAAAGTGAGAAGTGCATCTTTACTCTATTTTGGACGTGCTATTAATCAAGATAAACCATGAATACCAAAGTTTTTTTGTGCTTCGTGCTATGCTACTCTCATATCTTTGTTAAATAGGAACAAGATGTCAATGCCATTTGCCGTACCAGCTGTATGGCGTGAACCTAGTAATCATTTTAATGATTGCTACTTTTGCATGACTGACATACGTGGTTTTACAAAGAAAAGAAAAGTACCAAACTACAAAAGTATGGCCAGAAAGATCAGATTTTGTTTGCGGGAAATTTAATTTGAAACATATCCCATTGATAAAAAAAAAACATTTTACCACCACTCCACATAAAACTTGATTTGCTGATTTTTTTATCAAGGCTATGAATAAAGAGGGAGGTGGCTTTTTATATTTAAAATTTTTCAAAGTTAAGAGATGCCAAACACAAAGAAGAAGTATTTGTGGGACCACAAATACGTACATTGATGAAAATTTTGACAAAAAGCTTACTAACCAGGAACTTGATAATTTGGCTTTCAGTGATAACCACACTGAAAGCCAAATTATAAAATGGTTTTTAGGGAACCACAGAGCCGACAATGCGGAACAGCTAGTTAACGACCTGTTAATCAATCATCATCAACAGCCTATAACAGTCCACTGCTGGACATAAGCCTCTCCTTAGAAAGGAGGTTTTGACCTACTATACCACGCTGGCCAGACGGGTCGGTATAGGGTTTTTGTCAAGTTTTCCTTCTCTTTGCAGTGCTGTTGTCCGGCGTAGTTTGCTCCCTTAGTCGGCTCTTACAAGCAAAGCATACGAAAAGTTGCGTGGGTTGCAAAATGTCATTAAAAATTTAATTTCTTCATTCTCATTTTTCTTTCCTTCCATCTAATCTTGGTGCAGTCAGTGATGAGCAGGGTGAGAGGTTCCAGTAAAGAAGCTTGAAGGATGATTTAAAGGATGTTGGGACACAACTATGCTAGGTGATTGCTGTTGGCGTTTAAAACGAAAAGATCATTCAAAGCATAAAAGAAAAAGTGTCACGATATTTTGTGTTAAAAAATTTAAGTTTTTTTTGTTTTTTTTTTTTACCTAAATCATAAAATAAACTTGATTAATGTCAAAAATTGTGGTTGATTTTATTTGTTTTCTTTAAAATAGGTTTTGGCCTTGTAATTTTCAATATAATTTGAATGAGACGTGATGAAAAGCAAATTTGTATGTATGTTTATTAAAGGATAGGTATCAATAAGAAAACTGACATTTCAAAGCGGGTACTCAATTTTTTTTTGATTTGTAACGCAGTGTAATCGGTCGGTCGGCAGGCATGTGCTGTAAGCGGAGATCCACGATAGTGGGACCACTTAAACAGGTCTTAATCTTAAGTTTCACTTTCTATCAATTAGTCCGACAAATCATTTAAACAAGTGAATACTTGCTCATTCAAATAAAAACGACTTAATTTTCACAATACACAATTAAACCTTAATAATGTTTTTTTTTTATTACTTCGAATGATGTGTTAAATACAAGAATTTTCGGTAACTAACTAACAGACTATGTGACAGTTTTGAAGGTGCATGTTAACTTACTTCTAAGTATAATTTAAGTTTAGATGATAATATTTGACATTTTGTAAATGATCTGGTTCATAATGGAGCTTTTCAATAGCCATAGTAAACGCCGCAAAGTTAGGTACATATGAATCGTTTTGACGAGCCCATTACATTAGACATAGCAACAATGGTCTTATGATGGCGTCAAGATCTAGTGGAACAGTATGTTAACAGTGGTTCAATAATGTTTTAAATATGGTGTTGTGGTCATACAACAGATAATCAATCCATACGGTGACATCGTATTAATCGAAATAAGCACAAACGAACAACTTAAGGAGTACCTTAAGTTGTTCGTTTGTGCTTATTTCGATACGAGCAGTAGCTCGTAATTGAAATTCGGTCCAAATTCAGTTCCGAGCTACTCTCGATCTCACAAATGTCATTTTCAAGTATTTTCGTAGTAAAGTTTTAAACATCCAACGTTGACTATAATATGATTATATCGTATTATGACTGAAAGTTGGATCGGTAATCTGTTAGTCTTAATCATACTTTACTTTACAAGAAAGTGTTTTGCCAAGAACCGAATTCAGCACGGTTATCAGGTGTCTCGTTAGACAATTAGTAATCCCGCCGAATTTTCTTTTTCTTTTGTAACAAAAATTAAACAAACTAGATAAAATATCTCCTCCTCACTCATCTAAATTGCTGTCAACTATCAAAAATTTATAATCAAAACATTAGATCCACCCCTATCACTAAAGCATTTTTTTTTCTACTTAGTGTGATTGTATGTTGGTGCCTACTGAATTATTTGTTTTAATTTGATTATCATCAGTGTCATCACCATCAGCCTATTGCAGTCCACTGCTGGACATACCTCTACACGCAAAATTGATTATCAATATAACATTAAAAAAATGGTATTTTTTATAACTTAATCGCGTTACTTCGCTAGAAGTCAGTAAAACACTTTTGAAGTTAATGAATTTGTGAAATGCAATATTATCTGAATAGGGGTCTAACCAATACCGAAAACCATGGCAAGTGCTCTTCGAAACAATAAGGTTTTGTGTCCTCTAGTTCAGTCCAAAACTTCGCTTGTCGGATAGGTTTAAGAAGAACAGAAATTCTGTGCCCTACTTCCTTCGCAATATGTCCAAAATATTATAAAATACAATACAAATGACAATGACGTCAGATGCTGTATTTCGGTGGTTTAACAGCAAGCGAGCGTTGTCTATATCGAAGTTGAGGTTTAGAAGCGTTAGAGGCATAGAGTATCGTCAGATGTCGACCGGTAGAGACGTGAGGCGAGTCGCGAGCCGGCGTGCCGCGACCGCGGCACCCTTATCACTATCGCGTTATCAACCATTATCAGTTACTCATCGCGAAACCGATCGCACACCACCTCCTTTCAATTCACACGCGTGTAAACTGATCCCAGATGTGATTTAATTGGCAACGATCATGAACGGGATTTCAGTGTACGTTATACTGTGTTTATTAATGTTATTTTATCATGGAAATGGTCAAGGTGAGTTTTTCATACGTTCCAGTTAAAACAATACCTACTGATAGTGTAATCATTATTATTATTGGTGTCACACATAGCATGCTATTTATACTTGGTAAAGTATGTTTAGTTGTGTCATTGTAATATTCTGACTAACAGTATTGTAGGGAAGTATACCGTTACTTCGAATTAAACTATGCTACATACAAATTAACTTACTATAATGTAACGAGGAAGTTATTTTGTATTCTAATTAGTTGATATTGACATGTTTAATAATAATACTAACAAATATATATGTAAATATATATTTGTTAGTAGCTACAGGGTCAGGCACACACGTTAAGTGGTAAAAGTTATTCATGTTTTTATATTATATGCTATGCTATGGTTAATTTATGACACTGTTGGTGTTACTATCATTGATGATGAATGATATTTCGTACAGATAATATATACGATTGTGTTCATGATACATACTAGATGAAACTACTAGACATATGAAGATGATATTTGGTAGAGAGTTAGTTTAGTAGGAAAAGTCAGCTAGAAATTAATTTGCAAATTGTTAAGATTTAAGTTTGTATGTATGAAATGCTTGTAATTTTTGAGCAAAGGTACTGGTTTGCTTTTCCTTTAATGTTAACTAAAGGAAAAATGCAGTAAGGAAACTGGATACATATTAAGACGTTTAAGGGCTTTGTGTTGTATGAAAGTTCTTCGTTTTGGTGGGATTTGGGCCTTCGATAACAACAGTCACTCGTTGATAAGCAACTAAAGATTAGCTGAACTCCAGTCTTCTGTGAGGCCGTGTAATCATAGCTCTCCCACTGCTAAAAATTGATAAATGTTCAAGAGTGGGGACAATTGAAAATTAAGACTGAACATTTTATGGTCCTACTGATAAAGAAGCGGAAAGTGGATAGCATTGGTAGATAGTAACTTAGTAGGCTAAGCCAAAGCCCGCCGTTCTAACTTCAAAGTGGGCCGGACTCCACATTTCGTGTAAGTGTGCCAGATCAAGCCTAACAAAACCGCTTCCTCGTTAAAGTGTTAACCCAAACCCAAATCGAACGAGATTACCACAAAAAAGTACGACGAAAATGTCAAAATTACCCATATATATACAATTAATGTAAATAATGTGCAGTTGACAGACTCGCCAAAAGTTTAATAATGTGCAGTTGACAGACTCGCCAAAATTTTCTCTTAATAATGTACAAATAATTTGTTTCTTGTCGACGACTTATCATCAAATGTTTACATCAATCCATTAGATTAACCTTTATTTTATTTTAAAAAGTATTTTTTAATGTTAGTTTTAAGTATATTACAGTTATAAATTAGGTTTTGGGGAAAACTTCATTGCAAAATCGGCAATCGCATTGTCGTAACAGTTATACTGTAGGTATACGTTTGAGTATCGAAACGGTTAGGTACATATCAAAATATAACCAGAAAACTGTTTAAATTCTGCATAGAAATAACATTTATTTAACAATACTTATAGAAACAGATCACTCATGACTAGAGTCTAAAATTATTCATGTTATTTCCAAAGATTAAGTACTGTAGAGAGATTAAAAGTAAATAAAACTCATTCGTTATCTCATCACAGATATAAAGTAACTTCAAAAGGAGAGATTTATTTCATGTTCGTATTACCTAAAATAACCCATACAAACACAGACGCCGGAACACACCTGTTACGGACATTCGTTTTCTAAAATAGAGAATCCCAAATAGGATTGACAGTTTTATTTAGATGCAAGAAATGGTTTTCCGCGTTACAACATTTTAACTGGCGGAAAAATATTAACACGCCCAGCTACTTAACACTTCGTACTTCAGATAAAATATGCAATCAATGTATTTAACTTCATCTAATGTGGCACGACACTGCTTAAAATAACTTTTACTGATTTTGGTACTTTACGCGTTTTGTGTTTGGACTATGCGTGTCTGGAATTCCTTTTAATTATGGTATTTCAAATTAGGCCCTGTAGTTTTTATGTTACCTACATATGTTACATGTTTTGTTTATATTAAAGTGACGAACATTTGATTCATGATGTTATGTTTTTAATGATTATTTTTTATAAAATTAGTATCTATATAACTATATTATTTTAACATTTAGTTTATGTCACACATAAGAGTATGAATCATGTAATATAAATTATATATATTACCGTACAATTTATGATATATTTGTTTTATTTGTTAAATGATTCATACCATCGAGAACCCGGTAGTAGATTATTAAATGCGTTATAGAATTGAGAATATATAATATTATTAATATGGTAATAATGTCGTAAACAAATTCTTCGTAATAACCAATGCGAACAAAGTACCTATATAGTTATAGATAGTTCAACTCAGATGTGCGCGCGGCCCTATGTGTGGGTAAACCTTGTACATATACAGTGACTTTGTGTGCGTGACAAGAGGTACAGTCGTACAAATACAAATATAGTTATTTACGGGTACTATACGGGTTTTAAAAAAAATGAGTTATTTCGTAATGTAATTTTTATTTATTGAACATTATTCTGAATCGCTACTTGAAAAATCAAATGATGAATTTTCGGATTCGCTGCTCTCACCAAGGTTAATTATGAATTCTGACTCCATGTCAAAATGTCTATAGTATTCTTCTTCTTTCTTTTGTACACATTGTCGACAAGTATTACCCCACATCCCTTCATCAATTTGACTTAAACATTCATTTATGAGTTTCATTATTTCCGTCACATTTTGGTCGACATTATGCGAAGCAATATAATTCTTTAAAATTCCCCACACATTTTCTATGGGGTTTAGTTCAGGATGATATGGTGGCAGTCGAAGAATTTTTATGCCATATGGCTGAAGTATGTCGTCAATCTTGTAACAGATATATTTTTCTTTATTTTTTTAAATCAAATCATACAGTTCAATTTTTTTCATATCTTGATTAAAAGCTATATTTTTTTCTGTCAGCCATCTCTGCATTTCTATTTTTTTGGAATTAGAATTTGGGGCTCTGTCATTTTGAACGTTATGGTATGAGGCATTATCAAGCACAACCACAGAGTTAGGTGGAAGATTCGGTACTAGACGTTCTTTTAGCCACTTTTCATAGTTTTCTGCGTTCATGTTAGAGTGGTAATCACCAGAAACACTATTTGCTTTGTATGTCAATAGTGCGTTAGGTACGAAACCTTGATCTGAACCAGCATGCACAATGATAATTCTTTGTCCTTTCGACAGGTTTCTCTTAAAAGGTGGTCCATCTTTATTACCCCATCCTTTGTTTTGCACATGATTAGTTAAGATGTAGCTCTCATCTGTATATACGATACACCGATTTTCTTGATGGTATCTGAGTAAGTTTTTTAGGTAGGAAAATCGTAGTTTTTGGATGTCATGCCGCTCTATAATAACACGTCTGTTATCCACAGTTTTTCGCCATTTGTATCCCAACTTTAACAAAGCTGTACGCAGAGTCGAAATACTTCCATCATAGTTAAGTTTATCTTGAAATATTCTTTTCAACTTTAGCAAGGTAGGTAACTCGCGATGTTCTAAATGGTAATTTTGAATAGTGGAACGTATAACATCAACGTTAAAGTTGTCTAATTCTAACTTTTTTAAACGTTTTTTACGGTCTTTATGCGGAGATTTAAATTTAGAGTCAGATTCTTTTCCTTCAACCAATATATTAGTAATTGTTCTTACTGATACCCCACTGCCATTGCTGTTCTTTTCCGTACGCTATTTAAATGCTCACTTAATTTCGATATTAAAATTGGACTTGCACTGCAAACTGGATCACTTACTAGTTCCAATATATCTCTCGCATCTATTTTCAGAAATTCGTATACCTTAGCAATGGTTTCTCGAGTCTAAAACAATAATACGTAAACGTCAACAAGGATATATTTTTTCGTATATAGAATCATAATAAATATTAATTACATCTAAATTTAAAAAATATTTACCTGACTCCTTAAACATTTTCTCCGTGAAGAACTAGACATTTTCGTAAACGACTGTACCCTTAAGAAAAAGCGATAAGAACACGTCTTGCTCGGACGACGACTGCCGCGTCTCTGCCACACGAATGAAAGTTGTATATTTACAAGCCCACGCACACATAGGGCCGCGCGCACAACTGAGTTGAACTATCTATAGTAAAATGTATCGTGGTACCTTCACTAACAGATAGTTTGAGTTTAATAATTTTTTGTTTTTTATTAAACAGTTAATGGTCTTGTGTTTGTGGCTTCCAAACACAGGACCAACAACCAGGAGCAAACGAATAGCCTAGTTCGGCCTTTTTTTTTTAATGGGACCAATCCTTCTCAGACGCCCACCACTGTAACTCCTATGCATCAGGATCAACAGCAGTGGCCCACGAACCTACCGATTTATGACACTCAGTAAGTCTCAGGAAAAAAATTAAACTGTCTTGGCATCCGCAACGAAATTAATCAGAAGAAAGATTAGAGTTAGGCGTTGAACATTGATACAATGAATAATTTAAGTGCAAAAAGTTTGCTCCTTAAGTTACCATGCCCTGTAATAAATTGAGCGATACCGTGATCCACCTCAAGGCATGTCCTGGACAACCGTTCGCGAACAGATGGAAAGAACTGGTAAAGGTGGCGCCCCCTAGATGATTTGTCCCAGCGTTGTTGCCATTCCTCTATGAGGTCATTATAGACATCCGACTGCTGTTGAAGCAGTTTTGTAATTTTATCGCTATCGCATTCCACATTTTATTGTGTTGATTAGTACATGGTCTCGTACGTCTCTACGTCTCTGCACCTCGAGATCGACCGGAAACACAACCGCCAACACCGGCAAAGCCTCAGTGCTAGTTCGGCCTCTTTGTGTTATTGCAGTCTTTTTTCACCCTGGCTCCCTCGCTCTATTAATTATCCTTACTCAAATTCACCTTCTGCCTTCCCCCCCTTTCTTAAAACAATAACTGCATCGGTGGTGCAGTGGTAGTGTAAACGGTGCTGAGGTCT